AACTAACTCAGAACTACCGATGCACAACCGAACCATTAACACAAAAACGACAGACTAAAATCTACGTCAGTTGAAAATTGTAAGCTATCAGTTGTATTCATCAGAAATCCATACAGTAATTTGCGCAGCAATGGAAAATTCCGGTTTTTTAATAGACAACGCAACATCAAAATTCGTTTAAGTGAGCAGGAGATAACGCACGTTGACATTGTCAGTAATGACCACCTGCTTGACTGAAAACAGGAACGTACCTCGGCAATTATATTAACCTGTTGACGCCCATAAAGATTCAGAATGCAAATTCCTCCTATAAACTCAATACTTTGTCAATGAAAAGGAGTTGGGAATATAGAGATAGATCAACAAGGTCGATCCGTCTAGAAATCAAGGTCAACACGGAGAATTTGCTATTGGATCTTGAGAGCAAGCGAGTGAAAAACCTTCCGGCAGTTTCGATGTGTTTCAATTTAGTTTGAAGAATCGAAGAAGAGATATTTCTACTTATCCACAATGGCAGTTTTAGCGAAAATATGTTGCTGCGGATGCAGTCTACGAGACGGTGCGTTGCTTATTGGAATCTTCGGCCTGGTGAGTTAAAATAATTATCTATAAATTACCACACTTTAATTTGTCAAATTATATGACAAACAGCCCAGTTTTAGTACTTTTTAAAAAGTGTATCGAGCGGTCATGGATATTTCTTAATATTGCTACACTGTTGGTGAAGATTGAATTAATTCTGTTTTTGGGTCATAATACAACTCAGAGTTAATAAGGAGTTGTAGAGCAGTGTTTATCGATTTAGGCGACAAATTTCAAGACAAACGAAAATCGTGAAACTTCATAGATAGAAAAATAAGGGAAAATAGAAATAAAAAATTCTGGTCCGGGCCATCTGCAGATTCTGACTTAAAAAAATAGAATAAAATGAAAACTAAAACTAGCGAAAAGTGAAAAACCGAAAGTCACAGCGCGAACGAAAAATGCTACAGAGATCTTTGAATAACTTTAACACGCACTTTCCACTTCTACTCATTTTGATAAAATTATACGCTTTCGTCTGCAAGTTATAGAAAAGGAGTGATGAAGATAACCTTAGACAGGGAAATAGCGTCAAAATTCGCGTGGTCTTTTAGCATAAAGATTATTCTATAAAGACTATGGAATAAACTTCCTGCGGAAATTTGGAGTCGAGCTCCTTGGCTGCTTTTTATTCTAAGTTACTCCACTGTTTAGTTAACAATCACCAGGTACTTTTATTTATACTCTTATATTTTATATGATACAGTTATAAAAGTACTATCCGAATTTTTTATTAATTTTATCCCAGTATTGTATAAATTTTATATCTTTGTATCATAATAGTTAGTGTGATGTATATCACAATTATTCGTTTCGCACCATTAAAATATCTAGATAGAAAGCAGACTGCCAACGTCACGCATCAATAAATAATTCCCTCTCCAGCATGAGTGCCCTACAAGCCGAACTTATCCATCGAAGCACGTGCGCTAAATTTTTCTCCCACGTTGCTTGTGATAACCCGAATGACCCCAAATTACGAACAATATGGACTTCGAAAAATAATTTTGACAGTTTTCGTTCGCTCATTCACGTTGCATCGCTAGCTTATGCTGTAATGTTATTCTACATTTTTTCCTCTAGGCAGTATTAGTGTGCCCAGCGTAAAGATTTTATTTAGTCTATTGTATAAGGTTAAAACACACCTGTTGTTTACAAGAGTATGTACATGCCACATGGCGTAAATTGGATTTTAGAAAGTCTCAATAGACAATAGAGCAGAATATTTATTCTGTACTGACTAGGACTGAGCTGTGCTACTTTTCATGTCCTGCGGAAATTCAAAATAAACGTAACGAATTTCGTCTTATTTTAACCAATCAAAATTTGCGCCAGAAATTAAGGCTTAAATCCAAAATTTTCTGAATAGCAAAAATAAACGTTTGCCATACTGCAAGTCAAGTATTATATAGTTCTTATTGAGTGGCAAGATCCGAACGAGTGATTCAAACGAGAAAAAACCTTAAAAACATTTTTAATCTATCCCTGTGCTTATTTCCATTCAGATCTTCCAAGTAATCATACTTTATAACCGAAGTAAAGCTCTCATAAAGTACAACCAGGCTATCATAGACTGGGACAGCTACGAAGGATATCTCCCTGTAGCCAAGAAGCACATTCGAGGTATTTCTACTTCTCCTTCCTTGTCTTAAAAATATCATTAAATTATGGAATAAAATCACGATACACTTTAACGTTCCAAGACAATATTTTCATTCCATAATGAAAATAAGCTGGTCGCCAAACACGTTTTTGAGCCATCAGCAAGCAATTAAATTCATATTTTAAGGATGGTTTTGACTGGATTCAAAGTTTCCACGTCAAGTCTCAAATGAAGAAGTCGTTTAAACCATGGAGCAGTGTATTTTGAAGGGATAATTAATTATTCAAATCAACCTGCTTTAAATTGTTGTGAGTGAGCTTTATGAATTCTTTTCTGAACTTTATTTTGATTAAAGTTGTCTGTTTTTTTCTCTCTGTTTTATCTCAAAGCCATCATCGCATTGACTTATGTAACCCTCGCCTTCAAAGTGATTTCATTCCTATGCAATGTGTCATTACTAATATCCGTTGGCACGGTAAGTAAAGAAAAATCGAGATGGCATAAGGTTTTGTACTATAAAGTGCATTTTAGTTACGCGTTCTGGCATAATCTTCGCCTATGGTCTACAAACTTTATTAGACACGGCTGACTTCATCGAATGTGTTATGGGCGCACAGTTTTAAACACATTTGCAAGGTTTTTTGCGGATTGAACCCAGAGGCTCGATAAATGTGAAGCATAATCTGAAATATCCACCACTATCAGTTGTAATTATGTACTCAATCTAAGGCTATCCTTGAGATTTTCACTGTCATTTGGTGCACCCCCCCCCCAAGGAAATTTTCACCCGGCACTCTGTCAAATGTCTCTGATGAATTTTGATTTTAAGCCTAAATTTTTGCACACACAACTTGCATATTTACCATATCGATGTTATTTGTGCGGCAAGATCCCGATATCTCTTTATTGTTGTTGTTGTTTGTTTCGGTTGTTTATGTTTTAGTATAACAACAAAATTTATCTCCCTTGTTGCAGAAAAACATTAATTTGGCTGTGGTCTGGCTGGTGTGGAACGTTTTTGATTTTGCATACTCTGTTTTAGTGACAAGTTTCCTGTTGTCCGTCTTCGATGTGGTGAGTGCAAATGGCAAAAAGAAAAAATTCATTATCTCCACGTCAAATGCTTGAGGTGTCTAGCGCGGGGTTCAATGACATTATCACACGACTCAGAGTACAATTTTTGACAATAATGACACAGTAACTGTACCATTAAAAATTCAGAATGATACAAAAAAGACAAACAACTTTGAAAGCTAAGATTGGCAAAAAACTGTACGTAAAAAGCCCGGCATCTTGTTTGTTTAGCATTAACGCATTAGATTCCTCTTACTAATTTTCAAGATCACTCTCACTTTTCCGGGTAAAGTAGATTTCATAGAACTCTGGAACAGATAGCACCTTTTTTTAGATTATTTAAAAAATTTTCAGGCATCGAACTGTTTTCTCTCTCTTAAGTTCAGCTGTTGATAGTCTGTCAGTAGCAAATTCAGTCTTGAACCAAGAGATTGTATCTCTTGCACTCGTACTGCTCAAATTTCCCTCATAAATATGAAATGTACTTTTTTGCGGCCTGTTTCAATCACACATGTGAAACTATTCTACACTAAACTGTCCGTCAATTCATATTATAACAAAGTAAACTTACAATATTTCTTTGCTTAACGCATCACAGTTTATATATGCAGATATTGTGATAATCCTGTGGTGTTTGCTTACGGTAAGTTAATTTTTTTTATTTTGCGTTTTTTTCTCTTTTTTTTATTGTACTTATGATGGGCGTATGCAGATATTGCAATAACTGTTACTTTTTTTAATTCCTATTTTGCTTGGGAAATTATTTGAATAAATCCCTCTTCCTATGCTAAGGACATGTCTTTTTTTCTGTTTAATTTTAAACCTTGTATTCAAGACCTGTCAAAACTCTTCCACTGCTAGTTTCAATTATGATACTGAACAGCAGAAACTTTCCTACAATAAACGTCATGATCGACATATAAAACGAACAAAATCACATTAATCCTCCAAATAAAAAAATATTTTATCAAATAACTATAATACATTAGCTGTAACGGGTAAACATAGACTATTGTTATATACCTAGACATTCACTCAACAAAACTAGCACTGTGATTGGTTGATTCTTGGTCACGTGCCCCTAATCAGATTGAAATATATCCCGACCGGGATACAATTGCGCAGTCGTTACCCGCGCGCTGAATACAACAGCATGTTTGTTTGTTTGTTTTTGCCATATGATTGTTTAGGGGAAAGTCCAAATATATCACAAAGCACTTAATGAATGGTCCCTTGGAAAACTAGTTAGTTTTGTTTTCCCGAGACGAAGTCGAGGGAAACATCTGGACTAACTGTTTCCCTCGGGACCATACCTTGAGTGTAGAATGATCATAAACGGTTCAACTTTCGTTAATTATTTTCATTTTCTATGTCATTCATTTATTTCATCTCGTATTTCAGCTCTATTTCGTGATTGTGGTTCATTCGTACATACAGGCCCTCCGTGAAGATCCATTAGGGGCAAGCGCCGGTTTTCCTAGAGCACACGTTTACCAGACTCAAACGGTAACCAGTTATGACCATATGGAGTTCAAAGCTTGTCAATCAAATTTATTTATTCGTATCTGTATTAATAATTAATCTTTGTTTAACATTTTGCCTCGATCCACAGGCTGGTTTACGATATGCTAGCCTATGCACACCACCACCCACGACTGCTGTGCCTTCACACATTGGTGTAGGATGTTGCGCAGTATCGGACGAGAATACCATGACGCCACAGGCTGGTTATGTTCATCCTCCTCCATATCCAGCTGTGACGTCATATACTGATGAAAGATACCCTTCTCATCATCCAATGGCTGGTAAGATTACTCTGTCGTCATACTATGACGCTGGTAATCTTCCTTCACACGTAGCACATGGCAGAACTACCATGACATCACAAGATAGCCCAGAGCATCCTCCTGCTTACACAGATCCAGACACGACCGCTGTGATGTCACAGTTCGGGAATTCTTCTCAACACACAGTGCCCGCCGAGGCTATTGTGACATACCTAGGCTCTGAGTGACGTCATGATGAACTGTTCATGACACAAGAGCTCATCACCGGTCACTGAGATGCCTGAGAAAAGACTGGGCATTATAAACTTTCTATACCAGTTAATCTAATTAAAAGTAAAAGTGGCCCCAGAATAATTCTAAGTCATTTCTTAAGATTGCATTTTATTTTTTTCACGTTATCATTCCCATATTTCAAATCTTGAAATATGGTTATAAACCATGTTTCAAGATTTTTGCATGTAACACATTATAAGATATTATTAACCTTTGCGCCAATTGGCCAGCTCATAGGTAGTTAGTGAGTAATATTCAACAACAAGCAAAACTAAGTGGCTTCGGTATACAAGTTTGGCTTAAAAAGCGATTTTTTCCGAAATGAAGCCTTTTAGCATCCTTAAGTTAATAGAAGGTATTTTGGGACACTTTGAACGTTGATTTAACGTAATAGGCCTACAATGCCAGTTGACCAAAAAAGGCATAAATCTAAGTAAATATGCTATTTATATACCATGGTTCTCCTTCATCTTTTCATTGGAATCTTTTGTTCCTTTCTGGTCGCTTGGAACCCTAGTAAACCCATGAACTCAAGTCTCCTTGAACGTTGGCAGCTAGTGCCATGCCCCTGGCCATTAGTTCGGACAGTTGCCAATTTGTTGTGATGGGTACTTAATGGCATAAGTGGGTACGCATACCTTGGTCAGCCTGCGAATAACACTCGGCTGAGCCATTTAAATTGTTCTGCATCTCTTAATTTAATTAAATGATATTTAAACCGGAAGCTCTCTCACCCATAGATGATCTACAGAGAGGTCCTAATCCAAAATAACATTAAATTGTTAAAAGTAAATAAAAATTGCAGATATTAAAAAAAGGACAAAAGTAAGCTATAGATTAAAAGATTTAAAAAAATTATTCCTAAACTGACATATAGTGCCAGAGTTCTTCAAGTCACTGTCCAAGGCATTCCAGTCTTTAAAGGCATGATAACAGGTTCTTTGTTTACCCCAGTTCCGTTACACTGATGGAAGTCTAAGATGATCTTTGCATTATTCAGAAGAGCATCTTTCATTGTTATTGCCCAGGTATCTTTACTCTCTAGATTTCGAAAAAAAACGATATAAAAGTTGAGCAAAATTAGCCTGAGACTGCCAGTGAGGGGCAATTATTAGAATTCTATGGAGCCTTAGACGGGTTGGGGGGGTCAGGTATATTTGATTGTGACTAAAGCAAAATCCTTCATTCTTCCAACCCTTCCCCACCAGACGATTAACTTGGACCGGCGCCTTAAAACTAAAATTTAAAAATTTTGGTCAAAATTAGGAAAATTAGATTCTCAAGAAATATGTGAGGAGAGTGACATTTCTGAGGGGGAATCAATTTGGGTCCAGTTCCGACTTAGCTTCGTTATCCATGATCTTCTGCTCAAACAAAGCAGATGTTCAAATATAATCAGCGCATTTCTCATGCCGCGCTTTTTTTTCGAGTCTACGATTTAATTCATTGATCATTCATTTTTTTTTAATATTCATGAAGAAATTCAGCAAAGAGGCTGAACAATGAAACAAAAGATAGTGTGGTCCTGTTTATGCAAAGGAATAAATTTATTCATAAATGACCCCCTGCTGTTTCCCCCCACGTGTTGCAACGAGGTTATAGTCCTTCCTTCATCTCGGATACTCTCAAAATTGGAATTTTAATTTGGTCAAATAAAAGTTAAGTAGCTGTTTCGCAATTTTAAAACAACATAACCTATGAGGTCATTGCTTATAACATTGCTGATGTTAGCTTCAATTTCAATTTAGTTTTCTATGAAAAATATTAATGCTTAATCTAAACTCTTTTCACACAAATAATTATTTGGGTTTATCTTAATAAAAAAAAGTGCGAAAACACAAGAGACTTAAATCAAAGGGAAACGTGGGAGGGAATTCTATGCGGACGTATATATAGTTTGCTCACAAAGAGCGACCCAGGAGTGGTTGCTGGAGAAATGTTAATGGTAAATCTTTTTCTTTTGGCTCTGATTCTTAAGTAATTGAAAAATAATCTGTATTTTGCATTTTACAGTACAACAAAAAATACGGGCTGTATTTGATTGCCACTTAAAATGCGGATGATAGCTTCCATTTGAAAATAAGAGACGATGCCACTGCTCAAGTTATCTCTAACCAGAACAGGGAACAGAATGTAAGTCATATGCATGAATATCAAACACAAATTCTTTGCTTTACGTTAAAATTTATAACTTGTCTCCATGCTTCCTCGGTACGCAAAATCATGATTGCCGTGAGATTTGCAGAATAGGAAACTAGAAATCATATCCTCGATGTTCAAAGTGAATTAACTTTGAAATTGGCTAAGAAGTGATACTTTTACAGCGTTAAGTGAATACTTCGAATTTTTAGAATCTCCAATCAGTGGCTCGTTAGTAATAAGGAAAGAAAATTTTGATTTAAAACTGCGCGTAACATTTTATCCACCATAAGGCTTTAGAAAAAAATTCTCAGAAAAATGTTAGGAGCATACAGTGCGCGTAAATCAGGAGAACTAATGTGAAAGATTTACCTAACTTGATTGGGAAGCGTTCGGAAACGCCAAAATGAACTCAGATTCCAAATCAATCTTGTATATTTGCGATAACTGAAATTAAATGTTTATACTTTTACGATAATGTTACTAATAGTCGAACCTGATCCCAAAGCATGCCTTTTTAGGCAGATAAAAGATTCACACCTTGATTCAACTGTGTAACTTGACTTTTGGCATTATTTTTTATTTTGACATTATTCTCCTCCGAAGAGGAGAATAATGTTTTTAATTAACAACGTGGGCAGATAAGATGGGGAAGGAAACCCATGAAACATGCAATTCATTTATTTATCCAGGTGATAATAACCAATATTTCAATCTCCGAAACCACCATGAATCTATTATCAAGTAAACATGAAAACTGATGATTTGAAGTCAAGTTCTACTTTGAGCCAAGCTAAATAAGCCGTGGTTTGTTATTTGGAAATTCTCCCATGAGGGAGGGAGAACTATTTTATATTTAAGTAAAGTGATTATCTAATAAACAGTAAGTGCTTACGCTTACAAATAATTGCCCATACTTTTCTGACAATTTGAGAACGAGGGTAATTTAGTATTATCAACTGAGTTCATAACGTACATTGGCCACCGTAAAGAGTTTAAAATCTGACGTTTCGAGCGTTAGCCCTTCGTCAGAGCCCTTCATATTGCTCTTTTTACTACAAAAAGCAGTAAAGTTTCTAATTTCAATCATTTTTATTTACTTAATAGTTTCAAGACTGACACAAGATTTAAGGACTTTTTCCGTCAATTATCATTACCTTAAAAGTAATTTTGAAACTGGATCAATACAGCTGCTCTTTTTATTTTTTGTCTTCGTTTCACCCCAGCAACCGTTGTCACAGGTGCACACGGACCGATGGTGCTAACGATATTTGCATCGCGTCCATTTAGATATGAAAAACGAAAAAAATTACTTTAAAAATATAGAGATGTAGTCTCTGTTATCTGTCTGGCTTAACTGTAAAAGCCATGGGTAACACAATTTTATAACAAACCCACCTTCGGCTCTGCTTTGCTAGTCTCGCTCCGCTGGTCATTATCATGCGCCAAATATTTTCCCGTGTCAGGCCTTCAGCTTAGCCAATGAGTAAATATTGTTTTATTAGCTTTTCACTATTTCCCCAGCTTTATTGTTCTTGTAAGTCATACCACGTTTCTTGAAGCCCGTATGTTTGGTCCGTCCAAGTTCTGTTCATCTCGTCTCTAATTGCAACATATACTTACACTAAATTTACCCCTCTTACTAGTTTCCTATTAAAAATATATATATATATTTATATATCATTTTAATTTCTCAGTGGCACCTAAATAGAGAGTTTCTGAAATATATGATATTCTGAATATATCTTGAGTTGAGAAGTATTACCGACACTCCGAAGCACTTTTAAAAAGTTGCTCTAAAATCTTGTGTAAGATTTATATGTATACTTCTAATCTCTGCAAAGGGCTCCGAAGATCCATGAGAGACCAATTTTGAACTTTTAGTCGCTCAAAATAGTGGACTCGTTTGAATTAATGGCAATGATTTCAACCGTTTCATGTACATACCCCTGGTAAATTCAGTCAATATCACAAAAAACGAAGATATTTTTACTTGCAAGAATCTCCCACTTTGTGAGACAATGCTGTGTTGTTCGTGATACCTAAAAGATGAGTGTTATCAAAAATATCCTACTTTTTTATTAGGTGAGATCATTGGCTATCATTGTGGCTGTGTATCTGAATTTGAATATTTCTGCCCCACTTCGCGAATGATTCGCGTTCAATTTCCCGTATGACGCACGGCTCATATGAAGAGGCACACCGAAAATAAGACATGCTAAAAGACACATATGCTTGGGAACCAGTCTTCTACGACATTCAATTCACAGGACGCAATCTTAGAGGAGTTTTCCATGCGGAGTTTCAGCCTCAATCATCACATGTGATCCCTCGGTGCTATTATATACTTTCCTTAACGTGATTTTACTACTAAAAGTAAAAATAGGGTCAATATTAGGTGATATTGTCAAACAGAGGAGCAGAAACAATCGTATCATGCTCAAGTTTTATCGGTCACAAACACCACTCCGAATTTTATATAGCTACTGTAACCACCGGCATATAACTCAATTTGCGAAAAAAAAAATTGAAAAGAAATCGCATGTGGAGTCTTGAGAACAGTTTGAGAACAGTTTTTGGTTGCTTCATCCAACGCACACCCACGTAAATTCACTTACACTGAAAACGGAGAATACTCTGAATCCTTAAAAATAGTTTAGCTGTAATAGTATGGATGTCATACCTACTGACTCAGACTTCTGTTTGATCGGCTTACTTTGGCATTGCTCAACTACTAGGCTGGAAGAAGAAAAATTCCAGTCTGATTGGAAAACGGTAAAAGAACAACCAATCCCTGATTAAGATAACTACTAATGAACAACCGAACCACTAACACAAAAATGAACTTTCAAATTCAGACTAAAATTTATATCGGTTGAAAATTACAAGCGATCGGTTGTATTCATCAAAAATCCATACAGTAAATTGCGCGACGATGGGAAAATCCGGTTTTTAACAGACAACGCAACGTCCTGTAAGTGAGCATGAGATAACGCACGTTGACATTGTCAGTAATGGCCGCGTCACGTATCACGCGCACGTATTATTTCTTCATACGTGCCTGACTGAAAACCGAAACGTATTGACCTGTTGACACCCATAAAGATTCAGAATGCAAATTCCTCCTATAAACTCTATACAAGGTCAATAAAAAGGAGTTGGGAATATAGAGATAGATCAACAAGGTCGATCCGTTTAAAAATCAAGGTCAATATGGAGGATCTTGAGAGCGAGCGGGTTAAAAACCTCCCGGCATTTTCGATGTGTTTCACTTGAGTTTGAAGAATCGAAGAAGAGACATTTCCACTTATCCACAATGGCAGTTTTAGTGAAAATATGTTGCTGCGGATGCAGTCTACGAATCGGTGCTTTGCTTATTGGAATCTTCGGCCTGGTGAGTTAAGATAATTAGCCATAAATTACCAAACACTATTTTGCCATAATATTACAGAAAGCCCAGTCATAATACTCTTCAAAAGTTATCGAGCGGTCATTGATATTTCCTAATATCGCTACACCGCTGGTGAAGATTGAATTATTTCTGTTTTTGGGTCCTAACACAACTCAGAGTTAATAAGGAGTTGTAGAGCAGTGTTTATCGATTTAAGTAACAAATTTCAAGACAAACAAAAATCGTGAAACTTCATAGGTAAAAAAATAAGGGAAAATAGGAATAAAAAATTCTGGTCTGGGCCACCAGCAGATTATGACTTTAAAAAATAGAATTAAAAATGAAAACTAAAACTGACAAAAATCGAAAAACCGAAAGCCACAATGCTGACGCCGATCAAATAAAAGTAAATGAATAAAAAAATGCTACAGAGATCTTTGAATAACTTTGACACGTACTTTCCACTTCCACTCATTTTGATAAAATTATACGCTTTCGTCTGCAAGTTATAGAAAAGGAGTGATGAAGATAACCTTAGACAGGGAAATAGCGTCAAAATTCGCGTGGTCTTTTAGCATAAAGATTATTCTATAAAGACTATGGAATAAACTTCCTGCAGAAATTTGGAGTCGAACTCCTTGGCTGCTTTTTATTCTAAGTTACTCCACTGTTTAGTTAATAATCACCAGGTACTTTTATTTATACTCTTATATTTTATATGATACAGTTATAAAAGTGCTATCCGAATTTTTTTATTAATTTTATCCCAGTATTGTATAAATTTTATATCTTTGTATCATAATAGTTAGTGTGATGTATATCACAATTATTCGTTTCGCACCATTAAAATATCTAGATAGAAAGCAGACTGCCAACGTCACGCATCAATAAATAATTCCCTCTCCAGCACGAGTGCCCTACAAGCCGAACTTATCCATTGAAGCACGTGCGCTGAATTAATTCACCCACGTCGCTTGTGATAACCCAAGTGACCCCAAGTTGCTAGCAATATGGACTTTAAAAAAATAATTTTGACAGTTTCGTTCGCTACATCACGTTGCGTTGCTAGCGTACGCCACAATGTTATTCGAGATGTTCCCTCTAAGTAGTGTTAGTGTGCCCAGCGTATAGGTTTTATTTAGTCTAGTATATAAGGTCGAAACATACTTATTGTTTACAAGAGTTTGTACATGCCACATGGCGTAAATTGGATTTTTTAGAAAGCCCCAAGAGACAATGTAGCAGAATATTTAGTCTGTACTGACTAGGATCGAGCTGTGTTACTTTTCATGTCCAGCGGAAATTCAAAATAAACGCGATGAATTTCGTCTTTTTTTAACCAAACAAAATTTGCGCTAGAAATCAAGAGTCGAATCCAAAATATTTTGAGTAGCACAAATTAACAGTTGCCACACTGCAAGCCAAGCATGATATAGTTCTTATTGAGTGGCAAGATCCGAACAAACGAGTCAAACGAGAGAACACCTTTGAAACATTTTAAATTTATGTCTGTGCTTATATCCATTTCAGATCTTCCAAGCAATCATACTTTACAACCAAAGTAAAGCTCTCATAAAGTACAACCAGGCTAACATAGACTGGGACAGCTACGAAGGATATCTCCCTGTAGACAAGAAGCACATCCGCGGTATTTCCGTTTCTCCTTCCTTGTCTTAAAAATATCAATAAATTATCTGATAAAATCATAATACACTTTAACGTTTCAAGACAATATTTTCATTCCATAATGAAAATATGCTGGTCGCCAAGCACGTTTTTGAACAATCAGCAAGCAACTAAATTCGTATTTTAAGGATGGTGGTAACTGGATTCAACGTTTCCTCGTCAATTCTTGAATGAGAAGGTTGTTTAAATTATGGCGTGTTTTCAAGCGGTGTATTTTGATGGGACAATAAGGATTTGCTATTCAAATTAACGTGCTTTAAGTTTTGGGAGTCAGCTCTAAGAATTCTTTTCTTTACTTTATTTTGATTTACGTTGTCTGGTTTTTTTTCTCTCTCTGTTTTCTCTCAAAGCGATCATCGCATTGGCTTATGTAACCCTCGCCTTCAAAGTGATTTCAGTCCTATGCAATGTGTCATTGCTAATATCCGTTGGCACGGTAAGTATAGGAAAATTGAGATGGCATAAGGTTTTGTACTATGAAGTGCATTTTAGTTTTGCATTCTGGCATAATCTTCACCTGTGGTCTGTAAAATTTACTAGACACGGCTGACTTCATCGAATGTGTGCACAGTTTCAAACACATTTGCGAGGTTTTTTTCCGAATTGATCCCAGAGGCTAGATAAATGCAGGAGGCTAGATAAATGCAGGAGCTGAAATATTTACCAGTATCAGTTGTTATCGTATATTCAATCTAACTAAAGGCTATCCTCGAGAATTTTCATTGTCATTTTATGCATTCTCCCCCCCTCCCCGAAGTAAATTTTCACCCGGCACTCCGTCAAATGTCTCCAATGATTTTTCATTGCTGGCCTAATTTGTGCACACACAGCGTGCATATTTACTGGGTTCATATCTTTGTTATTTGTCCGGCAAGATCCTGATATGTCCTTATCGTTGTTGTTGTTTGTTTTTGTTGTTATTGTTTTAGTATGACAGCAAAATTTGTTCCCCTTGTTGCAGAAAAACATTTATTTGGCTGTGGTCTGGCTGGTGTGGAACATTCTTGATTTTGCATGCTCTGTTGTAGTGACAAGTTTCCTGTTGTCCGTCTCCGACGTGGTGAGTACAAATGGCAAAAAGGAACAGTTCATTATCTTCACATCAAATACTTGAGGTGTCTAGCGTGGAGTTCAATGACATTATCACACGACTCGGAGTACAATTTTTGACAATAATGACACAGTAACTTCAAATTTATACAAAAAAGACAAACAACTATGAAAAATAGCTAAGATTGGCAAAAAACTGTACATAAAAAGCATGCATGTTTAAACTCTTCCAGCCCGACGTCTTGTATGTTTAGTATTAACGCGTTAGATTCCTCTTCCTAATTTGCAAAATCGCTCTTACTTTTCCTAGTAAAGTAGGTTTCATAGAACTCGAGAACAGATTGCACCTTTTTTTTGGATAAGTTCAAATATTTTCAGACATCGAACTTTTTTCTCTCTCTTAAGTTCAGCTGTTGATAGTCTGTCAGCATTAAATTCATATTGTCTTGAACCAAGAGATTATATCTTTCCTTCACAAATATGAATTTTTTTTGCGGCCAGTTTCAATCACACATGTGAAACTATCCTAAACTAAACTGTCGGTCAATTCATATTATAACAAAGTGAACTAACAATATTTCTTTGTTTATCGCATCACAGTTTATATATGCAGATATTTTGATAATCCTGTGGTGGTTGCTTACGGTAAGTTATTTTTTTTTTCATTGTATTTATCACTGATCACGGGCGTGCGTATGCAGAAATAGTAATAACTGTTACTTTTTAATGCCTATTTTTCGATAAGTTTTGCTAAGGACCCTGAATCACTAAATTAATCCCTCTTCCTGTGCTAGGAACATGTTGTCTTTTTTCCTAGGTGTATAAGTTTTATACCCTATGTTCAAGAACCGCAAAACTCTTTCACCGCTAGTTTCAATCATGATACTGAAAAGCAGAAACTAGCCTATAATAAACGTCATGATTGACATATAAAACGAACAAAATCACCTTTATCCTCCAATTGAAAAATAATTTATCAAATAACTATAATATACAATAGCTGCAACGAGTAAACATGGACCAATCATTATTATGCTTAATTTTCATCATTTATTTTCATTTTCTATTTCATTCATTTATTTCATCTCGTATTTCAGATCTATTTCATGATTGTGGTTCATTCGTACATAGAGGCCCTCCGTGAAGATCCATCAGGGGCAAGCGCCGGTTTTCCTAGAGCACACGTTTACCAGTTTGAAATGGTAACCAGATTTACGTCAAGATCTTACTGAACACAGATTTCCGTTTATGACCTTATGGAGTACAAAGCTTGTGCATCAAATTTATTGATTCTTCTTTAGATCAATAATTAATCTGTGTTTAATATTTTGCCTCGATCCACAGATTGGTTTACGATATGCTCGCCCATGCGCACTACCACCAAACACAGCTGTGACGTCACATATTGGTGTAGGATACCCTCCCGCATGCGCAGTACCGGACAAGAATACCATGACGCCACAGGCTGGCTATGTTTATCCTCCTCCATATCCAGCTTTGACGTCATATACTGACGTAGGAAACCCTCCTCATCATCCAATGGCTGGTAAGATTACCCTGTCGTCATACGACGACACTGGATATCTTCCTTCACATACAGCACATGGCAGAACTACCATGACGTCACAAGATGGCTCAGGGCATCCTCCTGCTTACACAGATCCTGGCACGACCGCTGTGATGTCTCAGAATGGGAATTCTTCTCAACACACAGTACCTGCCAAGGCTATGGTGACGTACGTAGGCTCTGAGTGATGTCATGATAAGCTGTGAATGACGCAAGAGCTCACCGGTCACTGACAAGCCTGAAAAACGACTGGGCATGATAAACATTCTAAACCAGTTAATTTATGTAAATGTAAAAGTGGCCCCAGAATAATTCTAAGTAATTTCTTAAGTTTGCAGTATTTTTTTTCACGTTATCATTCCCTGGTATGGTTATAAATCATATTTCAAGATTTTTGCATGTAACACATTATAAGATAATGTTAACCTTTGCGCCGATTGGCGCGCTAATAGCTAGTTATTAGGCAGTATTCACCAGCAAGCGAAACTAAATGGCCTTGGTGTACAAAAAAATGAAATGAAGCCTTTTTGCATCCTTAAGTTAATAGGAGGTATTTCGGGACACTTTGAAAGTTGATTTAACGTAATAGGCCTAGAATTCCAGTTGATCAAGATCACTGTAAATTAAAAAAAAACATAAATCTAAGTAAATATGCTATTTATATACCATGGTCCTCCTTCATCTTTTCATTGAAATCTTTTGTTCCTTTCTGGTCGCTTGGAACCCTAGTAAACCCATGAAGTCAAGTCTTCTTGAACGTTGGCAGCTAGTGCCATGCCCCTGGCCATTAGTTCGGACAGTTGTCAATTTGTTGTGATGGGTACTTAATGGCATAAGTGGGGTGCGCATACCTTGGACAGCCTGCGAATAACACTGGGCTGAGCCATTTAATTTGTCCTACATCTCTTGAAATTCCTCAGGATGAATAATTCTGAGTCATTTCTTAAGATTACAATATTATATACTGCACTATATCTCCCAAAGAATTCAATATTTTGACCTATCATTCTCACACACTTGTCAACTCAATGAACTTAGCATTTGTGCCAAATTTGAGCATTATCACCCTGGCCTGGTTTTCTCATGGACACGCTTTAGAAGCAAACCGTTCTAGGAGCGATTATCAATTAGCCTACAAGACAGGTCTACTTTGTCTATTTATCGCGGGGCGCGAAGTACTCAAGCGGAGATTTGCGCCAACTGTACGAAATAATACAGCTGAATTCGTCAAGCCCTAAAAATTTCGATAATAGTTTCACCATGCCACCTTCCCTCATTACCACCAGTGTTAGAAATTCTCATAGTCCTTTAATTTTGTCCAATCGCTCTGACGTTAAACGCCTTTAAACTCTTTACGGTGGCCAATTCACCTTATCAACTCAGTTGATAACAATAAATTCACCTTTAATATATCCTGAAAGTGCTTATATGGAATTGTGAAATACTAAATTACAATTTACTTTCTCTTTTCAAAAAATCAAAACTAGTCTAACGAAGACTGAGGAATTCTCATTTGATAAAAGTTACCTTTAAATACTGCAACAGTTGGCTCACAGTATCAGGCGCAGTCGAGGCAACCAAAAGCTAATTTTTCACTCTTCGTCATCCTTCTGAATTCTTGTAACGAACTGTTGTACAGTAAACATCGACACAACTGTGGAATTTTCGAAAAAATTTCCGCACAGCCCCATACTTAAATATGCATGCACATCCTAACATCCTAATAATAAAGCCTCAGATATGGAAGCACAATGAAGTATGGGGCTGTGCGGAAATTTTGCCCAATTTCCTGCCTATATCTCTAAATGGCATTAATTAAGATACCCATGGAAATAAAATCAAACGCGTTCGAATCTGCACGTTTCTAATCCGAACAGCCATCGATATTCAATTGTACACCCACGGCGGCACGTGCACGATGTTTTCGTTGAAACGTGCGTGACCGCATGTTAAAAACGTGAGTCATTTTCTTAACCTTTGACTTCAAGAAAAAAAGGAATAAAAGATATCAGCTCACTTACTCATAGACAATGGCCATAGAAACAGACCGTCTAGGTCAATACTGCCTCGATAGAAAACAGATTCTCATAACTTCCGGCCGAAGAAATTTGCGAAGTTCAGAAAGGTGAATTAGGAGTCGGATCTTTGAAGTGGAAAAGTATTAAAGTATTCAGACGCAACGTTTGCAACTCAGATGAGTTTGACGTTCGGAAGAGTTACTTCGATTTATCAACTATGGGAAAGTTTCTATGCGGCAGCGTTTTACGAATAATCGCTCTGCATATTGCACTCTGTGGCTTGGTAAGTTCTCATGCCCAGATCAATATTTTAATGTCTCAGTTCTTTTTTCAGCCTCAAAAAAATCACTCCCCAACTTTAAAGCCGCCAGGTTTTAAAAACCGCATGCGAAACTTTTTAAGTTCTTCATTTCCAGTCATGTTAATCTTCTCGATTTTTGTCCACCTTTTCTTTTCTTTGCTTTACTTATTATGGACTCTTTTGTGTTTTCCTAACATAGAATATTTGACAAATTTTCAAGTCATCCAGCCATTAATTTCCTCTCATACCAACTTTTAGCTACTTGCTAATTAAAACGTTGCTATATCAGTTTCTTGCGTTAATGTATAGTTTCTTAATCGCTCCGTTCTCTCTTGTAAGTGATTTATTCAGCTATGAATGCGGACGAACTTAGTCGATTTTTATCCTTTGGATTTCAAATTAGATCATTGGTAGTCAGCTATCGAGCTCGGTGGTCGTCTATGGCAATGCTAGTTCGTTTAACAGTCCTAAAGTCAACTTTGCATGTCACGCATGACCTCTTCGGAGTCTGTAAACAAAATATAATTTATAGGGTACACTTATTCATTTCCATTCAAAGAGCTAGAAAATATAGGCTAAGGACACTAGGAGTTCATAAGAATTCTTTGAATTTGAATTTACACGCTCTGCAACTAACAACATCCCCAATCTGGCAAAGTTTTCGTCAAATTGTACTATGCATTTACATTATTATTCTTGTCATCCAAAACAAAAACGTCCTTGTTCCAGCGAAATACGATCACTTAAGCCCTAAATTTGTAGATAAACTTAAGGTTGAAAATTAAAAAGAAACCAGAGACGCCGAGGCGGTAAATAGATAATGATGACATATTTCGCTTCTAAGAGAGCTCGAGCAGTTGACAACTAGCGTGAACCGGAAGTAACATACGTAATGTTTACAAATTTACGTTCTCAAACTCACGTCCTCTTTCAGCTGAGAGATAACGCCATTTCATTCTAGATGTCTCGTTCCTCTCGTGGCTACAACCAGCGTTGAAACATGACGGCAAAAGCAACGATAATTTAGAGAAAATCTAAAGATTTAATGGGCAGAACAAAAGCGTTTCGCGCGTGCGTGCGTGTGTTATCAAATTTATACATCTCCAAACAGAGATGCATATAGAAGGATGGATTAAAGATATTATTGAAAAAACAATCCTTCAAGATTGGGTTGCTGTAATTTATACAAACTGTAGTAATTACAACATGTCATCTATACCCGTTTTTCAATTTCAGGGAGTGTCAATGTTTTCAATTTACTATCAAATTCAATTTGTTAAATGGCTTAAGCCTCTCGAAGAGATCTACACCAGGGACTTTCCATTCACCAGAGACTCATTTGAAGGTAATTTGATTTAATTTTTACTCTTCCTCGAATTTATGGGGGACATTTTGGAATTACACATATTGACCTCATTTTCGTTCCAAAACAAGATTTAACAACGGGAACCAAAACGTTCTCTGGTGATCTTTAATTTGGTTCAATGTTGTGTTCAACAAGATTATGATCTGATACGATACACGACTGAATTTACCGGTGTCAATTTTCATTGAGCCCTCAACAAACTCTTTAAAAATACCTAAAAATTGCACGGAGACTGCTAGCCCACATGTTAAAGTTATTCTAAATATTTTTTTTAACTTTTGAAATCAGTTTCTGGCTATATTTTCTGACTAGTGTTCAAATGATTTGGGGTATAGTTTGAATTGCAATAAGTTAGCGAGAGTACATATACATTTTTCAAAGCATAATCAATTTGCTCGCCCAACGTACACAGGAACTTGAAATTAGTCAAGCTCTTTTAAAGTCTAATTGTGTTTTAGTATCCATACTCCAAAATCCACTCGAAATTTATTACCAATATACTTCAAAAAAATCACTTGTGCATTTTCCGATCACTAAGGCAATCTTTTTGTTATTATTGTTTGGTTTTTTTTTCTTCTTTACTAACTACAAGCTTATCTTTTTCTTTCGTCCACTTAAATAGAGTATTATAAATTGAGCCGAGCCTATATCGCTTTTAAAGCAATTACCTTGTTGGTCAACTTGTTGCTGCTGGTATCTATTGCCTTGGTAAGCTCAACATGGAAATTTTTATGCATTAAATTCTGATGGATTAACGTTATATTTAAGTAATTAGGTAAGTTTGTCCAGTTTTTCCAGAGTACCTCTTACACTATTTTTCACCCAAAATTTACAGCTTGCTTCTGTTACCTTCTTTTCACAGAAGAACCAATATTTGGCAATAACCTGGCTTGCGTGGGGCATTATCGACGTTCTTTTCATGTTAGCACTGTTGTTTTACTGCATTTCTGAATGGAAACTGGTGAGTAAAGATTAACGTTCACCGAATACGATTCCTGTCATATCTAAAGAACAACTGCTAAAGAATCTCTGGAACATGTCATTTTTTTTTCTCCTTTTCTTAATTTCAGCAACACCGTTACTTGGTTGGGATACTCGCATGGTGCGTCATTAAGGTACATTTAGTCGTTACTTTATTCACCTGCCGAGTTTATCTCACAATTCTTTGGCTAATGGATGCGAGATATTTCATAATTCAGCATTTCATTAACTGGAAATCAAATGTGTCAAAACATCTCTCGCAAAGTGCCTCTATCAACCCAGGAAAATATTCTGCGTAGTAACTGCAAACTATCAGCAAATTGAAAAAACTACCAAGAGGTAACCTTTAGATAAATGGACTAGCATTTCATCCTGAGGAAGTGGCAATATTTCTTGTGGCTTCATGGGAAAATGGAACGACCTTAGATAGGGTACAACATGAACTCATTCCTAAGGCTGGTGGAGAGTCTAAGATATCGTACCCGCACTGTATCAAGATTTCTCTTCAATTTGCAGGAAATGAGACTCAACTAACCATCGCTGGTTCTTTTTCTCTTAAGATTTTCTTCATCTTCGTGATGTGTGCATATATTGCGTTCCTTCGTAAAGAACTCTTAGCTCAGGATATGGAAATACGAACTGTTACTTGTGCTGATATCCATGGCAATCAAACTCAAACGGTAACTACATCTTTATCTTGATTTTTTCACTACCAAAGTACAATTTTTAATCAGCGAATATAGATTTTAGACAGTGTAAGTGAGCCGTGATAACATCTGCCTGATCGGTCGATAGACTTGATAAAAGTATTGATGAAATTTTTTTTGCACTGGAAATCTGTTTTTGGTAAATATTACCAAAATAGGATCACACCAGGAAAATTTATAGTAAACTGTTGCTTAAATAATGTCTGCACGTTACGTCACGGCTCACTTTCGTTGTTAACAATAACGTCGTTCTATTTGTTAGCTGTCGCTTCAGAAGGATGCAGACGTAGCGGCACAGGAGTTATTACTGATCATTCTCGTTTTATTCATCTGGTTGGCTTTTTTTTATCGATTCATTCATTTATCCGTTTCATTTTCTAATTCACAGGTTGACATGGGACATCTTTTCCAATACGCGGCTCCGTGCCAGGCCTCTGTGACGTCAAAGTCTGACGTAAGATACCCTCCCTTACAAGCCGCACCACACAATACTGTGACGTCTTATGATGGCTTATTGCTACCTGAAACGATGCAAGTTGACGAAAGAAATCTTTCTGCATCAGCGGCACCGGACAAAACTACTGTGACGTTACTTTAAGGCGTAGAATATCCACTTCGAGACGTCGTAAGATGAGAGTAGCACCCGTCAAGGTTTCTGTGACGTCTGCCGGTCTTGCATGACGTCACGGCTAGCAAGCATAACTAACTTAAGAATTTGCTGATTACCGCTGGTGATGTTTTATTTTGCCTGAACAAAATAGATAGGGCAAGCTACTCTTTTGAGTTATTCATTTTACCTCTAAACGTAGCGTTAGGAATAACTTATTGCACACCTTTTCCATAAGAGCTGGAAGGCTTCAACAAGATACGGTAGCAAATTAAGGAAACCGATGGATGTTAATAACAATAACACAAGCGTCCAAAGGGTTGGCGCAAATGAAAGACTCGTGTACGTTATACTGGGAGACTTAGGTGTCTGTGGCTAGGTAGGACTATGAATATAAATAATCCTAAATTATGTTACCAAATGGTTATGTATTGTTATTAAATTAAAGGCGGCTGGATAGGAAACCCGATCGACTTCTTTGATATTATGGAGCTGACTATGCAAACCGTCCAAATATCTCAATAAATCTCTAAGAACTGATCTCTGATGCAAATTCCCTTCAGGAGCAAAGGAATATACACAGTCGGGGAGCTCTTAGCCTAAACGGCACCATCACTCTTTTCGTTTTTGATTTTTACTGCTTTCCTTTGCAGCAACCTTCGGTAACCATAAATATTTACCCGAAATAGTCACTTATGAAAGATTTCCATGTAATCCTTGGAATTAAGGCTTTCTTTAAAAATGATGATTATGAGTTACTGCGTAAATTTTTCCCGCTTACTATCCCTATCGCTAAAGCAAGAATGTCGGGATTAATGCAAGCGCGAAGTACGAGCTAGTCCATAAAGATGTTATATATATGGCTGTGAGGTCTTCCGCGCATAATTTTATCAGACGCGTTTTGCAATCCACGCTGTCTTATGTTGTACGCAGACTCGTGACTTAAAACGTCGCATACATCTTCCTGATAGGACTATTTATCTTGTGAAAACATTTTCATTTAGCCTCTGTCCTGTTTCCCTTGAGAATCGTGCTTAACATCAGGTTAAAATGGTCAAAATAAACACCCATTTTTTAACAAAAACTTCTCGTCAAGGTTTCTCGCACGAGACGAGCATGTTTGCACTGCCACATATCAACCAGTTATTTCAACACAAACACAGAGATGTTTATGAACGCTTCACGCCCTGACATTAGTGTACATCCTCTCCATTCTGTTCTCTATATATTTCCAAACATGCTGACAAGGAGAATTTGTTTAACCTGCAAGCAAGAACTTTTGTAATTTGTGATCATTTCTCTTATCCTCGTGACCTTTAAGTGTGATTCAGGGGTGATATTTTAAGAAGAAAGTCGTTGCTAGCCACTGTTTGGGTCAAAGGATCGAGCAGGACTTTCTGGAAGCGAATATCAATAAGCCTACAAAACAGTTTTTTTAAGGCGATATGCGAGGTGAGGCGCGAAATACGAGCCACGAGCAAGAGCAGAAATCGCCTCCCACTACTCTCGCATCCACTCTCCTGAAAAAAAAAACGCAGAGAAAGTACGCTTATTCTGCAAGATAGTATAGTTACTCAATGGATCAGCAGGTTGAAGGATCGCTGATTAACTGTTGCCTAAAGGTTTGATGTTTTTTATTGGACGAGAGTTGCTCAACCGTCGAGAGCCCGATTAACATGTCATGGACCATGCTACCCCGGAAAATTTTCAAATTTTGATCTAAGGGCAGAAAAAATACAGGGCATAGAGGAATACAAGGAAAGGTACACCTAATACCCTTTCCTTCGGGCTTCAGAATACACGCGGAAAACTTTATCACTGAAGAGCTGATGAAAACAAATTGGACGTCGTTTGTTTGTTGACTGTTCAGAGGAAGTAAATTAATCAGTTTTCAACGCATCCGTTAATTCTGTTTTCCGAGCTCACCATGCGCGTTTCCATGTTTGCATGTTCAATTGTAACCCTGTATTCAAAAATATGATGAAACAGGGTACAAACAGATTAAACGTGTTCTCCGCTCCAAGTGGCCGCCATATGTTTTGATTGACAGATGTTTTTCAGACATTTCATCGTTCAAGGATTACAGCGCCCAGACAAAGAAGAGCAAATAGCAATTAGTGTCCTGACTTTCCCGTTTCTTTACTTTACGTCTAAAAAACAACAAGTGGGCTCGAGCTATGGCGATTCATATGCAGACTTTTTGTTGTGGATGTAACCTGCGAACAGGCATTATGTTAATCGGCCTCTTCGGCATCGTATGTATCCATATTTTCCATACGTAGTTTGCCATGTTTGTCATCGAATGACAGTATCGATCCTGCGTAGTTGGTTGTGTTTTGGTAGTTTCCAGCGGCGGAGCCGCAGCGAATTCTTATGGAAACGGAGGGGAGAATACAGGGAAACCGCCTGCTGAAAATTTAAAGGATTACAAATCTAACGAGCTCATCAGAGAACGGAAATTCAGAAATGCCACCGAAGTAAATTATCATGTCGCAAGAGCATTATTTTTTGTGGCTTTAGACTAGTAACTACTCAAAAGTCCTTTTTTCTTTTGACTGATATAGTTCTGCAGTTGAAATTGTGTTCAATTTTGGATAGTGCATGATGCATAGTGCACCCGGAATGAAGAGGAGGAAATTAATTTGGCGCGGTTTTTCTTTAAGGAGATAATTAGATTTATTTAGTAAAAATTCGTAAATGTGTTGTTGTGAGTCCTTCTGCGAATGGGGCTTTGAGCGCGACGCACAACGAGTTTGCTTGAAAATTTCAAAAGGTATATAAGGCGGTGTTTTGCCGGCGCAAAACACCGCGTTATATCAGTTAGGGCTATTTTCATAATTATAAAACGGAGCTTGTTTTAAATCGATCTCGTTCTCTGATAGCATTCCACCTTGATGTGCATTATATCGATTTTTTTTTTAGGAAACAAACCTTTGAGAGTAGTAAACAGTGAAAACGATTGACAATTTGATCTTTGTAAGAAGAATAGCCAGTTGCCCTCTGGCGCTGGAAGGATGTCAAACACGCGTATTTTGTGACACTCTGTTCATGAAATCGACGCGTGAGCAAATGTGTTATTGTTTATAACTACGAGATTTTCCTGGTGGCAAACTAACATCTTACCATGAACCAAGACTTTTTTACGTTGTGTTAAAGAGGAATTTCCAGAGATGGTTTCTTAAGAGTATTTGTAACGCGTGACCCATATGGTCAACAAGACGTGCATTTTTTTAAGAGCCAAAAGGTAATCAGAGATGTGTTAACATAAACTTTCTCAAGGCTGAAGGCTGTCACGCCGCGCATGCCCTGAACTGTGATTTCGTACCTTTAAAATTAGCCCGCATGAAGGACAGGCCGATCATTCTTTGCGTTTTCGCGAGAGAAGCACTCGCTTTTCGCGCTCACCTCGTGTACAATTCACGTTGTCCCATGAAATGCGAGATTTGAAAGTAGCATACTCAACTATTGACGGTATTATGAGTATTTTACGCTAAAGAAGGCCTCAAGATAGTGTTATCATTCAATATTGCCCTGTTAAAGCGCCAAAAAGGCCATTGATTTTCTTTTCACATAGTTCTCAAATGGAGTAGGAATTTACTGGAACCACACAGCCGCGGAAACTGGTGAACTGGATGCATTGCCAATCTCCCAAGGATACAAAAAAGGTATGCAAGGCATGTTCATTGACTGGATCTACACAGAGAGTATCAATGGTCCTTTACAATTTAGGAGAATATGGATTTCACTCATGTTAGGAGATCATCAAATTCGAATGAGATGCATGCATAGACCTACAAAACAACCTCTACGTTCCGCAGTAAATATTGCGAATGAGACGCTTAACTCTTGAAAGAAACCTCTTGCAACGAGATCCATATAATGTGATATGACAGCTAGTTTGAATATCTGAAATGCAGCCAACTACTGCGAGGTCGTGGTAATTATAAATCTTCCAAAACCATCCTAATTTACTTCGGGCGCGTGAACGGAACTCTGAATCATTCTCCACTGCTCCTCTAATTTCTCGCTGCCAATTTGCAAGTAAGAACTTTTCCGTGGGGAATAATCTCTGGCTTGAAAGAACCCTTAGTGAACACTATTTATTTTAAATTTCAAACTATTGTATTTCCTTTCTTTACAGTTTTAGCCGATTTGAGTATGGTTTCCCTTGCATTTTCCGCCGTTTCAATGTTGGCGGATGTCTTTCTTTTGATTTCCTATTGCATGGTAAGAAAACTGTGACCCAATGTCCCTTTTTCCTTTTATGACCACTTGTTTCGTTTATATAATAGCTCGTTTTTTCGGGTGAAAGTGAGTTAAAGATAGGTACACTTTGAACTGTTCTTTCCTTAGTTCAGCCAGTCATTCGTTCATTCAGTAGGTCAGTCATTATGTCAGTCAATCAATCAGTCTGTCGGTCTGTCAGTCAGTCATTAAGTTAGTCAGTCATTTAGTTAGGCAGTCGATCTGTCAGTCAGTGTGTCAGTTTGTCAGTAAGTTAATATAATTTAGGTTTTATCAACTGAGTTGATGATGACAATTGGCCACCGTAAAGAGTTTCAAAGCTGACATTTCAACCGTTAGCCCTGTCATTCGCTCTAAAATACCAAAATTTATCTTCCTCGTTCCCCTACCGACGCAGCACCATAGTTTCTCTAGAAACATACCCCTGATTTATTTGTCAGTTAGTTAGACTGTCAGTCAATCATTCAGTCAGTCCGTAAGTTACCATCTCTTTTCTAAATAGTCAGTTCTGAAATAAACTACCAGGGTCCAAGACGATCCAGTGGCATTCTACTCTGTTCAGCTGTGTTTCTAAATTTGCTTTGGAATATAATTCAACATCATTTTTAAATATTTTAATTCATGTTATTGTCATGTGATAATCGTTTATTTTCTACTGTTTTTTATCACATAAACTGCGGTGTTATACAGAGATTTCCGGCCCTGAGAAAAGTCGTAACAACACGTGTGAAAAAAGATCGTATTTTTTTCCACGTGTGTTGATATAGCCAATCGGCTGCTGACACGTCACTCGCCTCTGGCGCCACTCGGTCAGGTTCATGAATGAACAGCAAGTCTTCACTATTCTCAATACAAGTTGTTCGTCGGAGGTTTCTCGAATTGTTTGCGGCTAAAACACTAAAAAATCCGTATCGCTGACAGACAGTGAGGTTCAAATTTTCCTAGAAGGGGAAGAAAACCAATATACTAAAAGAAAAACCGAAAGTTACTTATTCAGTGGCTTTGGTGTTAGCATTTCTCTCGGCTGAGAATGAAAATCGACAACTGGAAGATTTGCCACTGACCGATTTTGGCCGTTTACCTGAAAGACTTCTTCTATCGGTAAGGATAATAAAAGAGAATTTTGTAAATTTAAAATTACGACCATTGTTGTTTTTGTAATCATGATTCAATGCATTTTTCTATCTTAAGAGTTAGCGCCAACGCACTCTACGGTTGTTATTCGGGGATTGTCGATTCATTAAATTAGTGAAGTCGGCTTTTCTTCTCAGTAAGAGCTCTTGTGTTTATGTGATAAACAAAATAATACATGGTTGCTTGTAGATATGGAATTTCTCTTCTCGTGTTCAACTCGACATCCCACTCGTTCGCTCCGCTCACTCGAGAGCTATCGAGTTAAACACTCGAAGAGAAATTCCATATCTACGCGCGCCTATGTGTTATTCTCTCCACATATTTACATTAATTTTCTTTTTCTTTCAATTTCATTCTTTTTTTTTTTCGGTTATCAGGTGTACTTCATTCTTGTGGTGTACTCATACATCGAGACTCCTCCTCCGGAACAAACATCGTTACAAATGAGTGGAAGCTCGGTAATAAACATATCATGGCATCATTTCCCTATAAAATCTGCCATTATTTACCGCCTGGGAGGGGGGAGGGGGAATCGGCGGAGAATTTTGGAAAGGATTACATCGTTTTCAGGGGAAACGAATGGGGGTTCAGTCAGTCATTGTTGACACAGTGTAAAGGAAGGATCCTTAAAATATTTCAGGAACTCAGGTAACTTTTATCACGACACAACCAAAATCCTTTGACAACCCTCCCTCCCCTCCCCCGCGATGTAGATTATAATGACCAGTCCCTGAAGTAGAATAGGTAGATTACATTCCTTGCTATCCCGGATGAGATAGGGGTGGGTAGAGATATGCTCTGTTACTGGATTGGACTACAGAACTAAGGATCGAGTGTTCCTTCGAAGCGTTTATGTGTAGAGCTTAAGGATAATTAATCTAATTTACACCGCCTAGGAACAAGAATTGCCGGAAGTTGTTTTTTTGAGGAAATCCTAGTTTTTTTTTCTTTTTAGTTATCCGTAAAAGAAGAGTTGAGCGATTCTCTATTGGGCAACCTAAAACTAAATCAAGAATACTCACAGTCGCCGATCAGACCAAAAGAAAATATTTCAAGAAACCAATAAGAAACAAAAGTTTGTTAAAAAAAATGATTTCTCTATCTTTTTTTGCAGCACCATCAATACGATGCACTTGCTTGATTCACCAGAATCAGTCTTAGATATACGCATGTGCCTGTTGTTGTAACTTTTAGAGACAACAAGACCCGACATGTAAATGAGGCTAATTCAAATGTAACCGTAAGGGTTCTTTACAAAAACGGAAAAAGGAGGAAGAAAACGTGGTCAGATATCAGTTAGGTAGATCTCAACCGAAAAAAATAGCGTTTTATAACATATGTAGTATTGGAAGAGGTATTTACATGCATGAATAATGAAGATTATATAAAAAAAAAAGGCACGTACATATTTCAGTATTTTCGGTCTTACTATTTTTAGGCGGAGCCTTTACAAAGGGTCTCAATGGGGTGATGGTTTTTACGGCTGACGGCCAATTTCTTTTCGTTAGGGTTAAAAGTAAAGTTTTTACGCTTAATTTTTCCTTACGACTGACAGTTATAAATTTGTCAATTTTTAAACATACCAACTTAGGGACTCCCTTTACACCGTGGAAAATATGGAGAACCAACCAAGTCGAGGACATCAAATTGTTTTGTAATGCTTCCGTGCGTTTCGGGGGAAACGTTGCGCAACAGTCGCAGCTCTGTTTCTAGAAAAGCCCCGTAACCAAAAACAATGGCGCTCACCACAATTCGCAACCTAGAGATCACAACCCACCCGCTTCGCTCTTACTTTCGTTGTATTTTATTTTAGAGACAGTGAAGCGTTTTACAATCGTGTAATGTATGTAGTACTCCTCCCCATTGAGCGTCTTCATTTACATATGTTCACGCGTGACTAGTTTGGTCCACCAGTGTTCAGTAAGAACAGGTAATTGAACACGTCGGTTTTGGCGCCAACTGGGACGCGGCTGCCGCTTCGCATACTTCGTCGTATCCACTCTGAAGTTGCTAAGGCAACGTATTAGTCCAAGCTAACAGATCCTCGACTTCCTGGTCATGAGGTTCCAGGTCTCTCGCATTTGTTTCCGCCGGTGAAGGAGCATAGGTCTGAGTTCTGGATAAAGGAGTCTCAGTGCCGGAAAGACCTCCTGAGTGACCATAAATAAAAAAAACAAATATATAACTCTTTGAATCCAAAGATTTAATTAAAATCAAATCAATTTCAAGAGAAACAAATCTCGATTACAATGAGTACAATGTAGCTTATTTACTGTTTCAAACAAATATGCTCTTCAACGCCGAAGTTGTTACTAAACCATTCTGTGGTCGGTTTGCCTGTAGACGAACTTTAAAACTTAGGGCTTTCCTCGCCGAAAATATCATTCGCCGGAGCCCAGAAAGAATAAGCGACTTTTCCTTTCTTTGCACACGTCATCCTCTCAATTTGCACCATTCTGCACGCCTGTTGCCCTAACAAAAGCTGTTTTCCAGCCCACATTCTTTTCCCTCCCAGTACTTAATTTTTCCGTGACGACGTAATGAGTGTAAAGAAAAAGTCTTAACACGAAAAACACTGGCACAAACCATACCTTGCTGTTTAGGTAGGTAAATCTGTTTCAGTAACTGAATCCTAGTGGTCTTCAGTTCCGTTAAGTCCCGACCATCTCGTCCAGTATCAAAGTTTCCGTACATTATAGCGTTATGCTCTGTCAATTGTTTGTGAATCTCCTCGTGTAATTCCTGTTGCGGCAGTCCAAAGTGTGTGGCTTGCAGATTGGAATCGGCTTTAAGAACCTCACTTAGCGGATTATTTGAACTCAAAACTGGTTTAGTTGTAGCTATTCCACTCCACATTGCATGATAGTCATCAAACGAAACTTTTCCGATTTTCGAGCTCTTTTTTCTCTCGTCAGGAGTTCTCGCGGGTGGCTCGGGATCTTTACGGGACATTCGAGTCAGGTCGACTTCCTCGGCCGTGTGAGGTTTGAGGCCAGCTGAATTAAAAATGTGCATACGTGAAAGATCAATTTTACGTAGTCTCTATGACTAGCCGCTGCTCAAGAACTAGGAGCCTGCGTTTGAGTAGAATCGAGGGCTCGTTAACAGCGCGGCGTAAATGAAGCTTTTATAATCACCTGGAATTCTTTTCTTTTTGAAACTGTATAGTGTAAAATCTCCTACAACAATATGTCTTGCCAAGTTTTCCATGCATCAAGTGCTGCAAGATGAGAAGCGGTACAATGCTGCCACAATCTTTTGCGCATTGCAACACGCATAGTGTCGTAAACGTTATATTACAGAGGCCCAGCTTAAGTATGGGAGAAAATTTAAGAACATTGCCGTGTATGGCAGAACTTGTAAAGGTGAGTGTAGTTAGACTTTAAATAGGTTTTCCATGATCACTCACTTCTGCTAATATTTGCCTTGTCGCCTCCCCCTCTCCCTGTTCTCTTCTCCCCTCCCACCCCTCCCTTAAATGTACAATTCTCCTGGAGTTCACATGAATTTCTTTGAATAAATCTGTAGCAAAATAGCATTTTCCTTCGCCATTTTATCGAGATAATGCATTTCTCATTAAAGGATTTCCTATTTATTATGAGATTGGATGCAATTTGAGATATTCTGCAAAACTGCATGAGTCTATGAAAGCAGAAGCATGCCAACTTTTGTAAAGATCTTTTCACCTTCAATTCTCTTACTGGCAAGAACACAGTCCAGCACAGTCTGTCTGAAACCACTAGGTGAGGAAGCAAAAATTCTGGCAGCACTAGGATTTACAGCATCCTCAAGAACTGGATTTGGTAGCAGCATCTGTGAAATTTGACAAGAAATTGAAAGAGGTGATTTAATCTTTGGTTGTACAGTCAAAAATCTTAACCCTTTAACTCCCAAGATCTGGTTGTTAGTTCTCCCCTCTGGCTGCAACACATTTCCTTGTCAATAAGTTATGAGAATTTGGTGTTAGATCAAGATGACAACTTCTACCTGATATATTTGAGTATTCTCATTACCTGTTTGCTGGATAACGAATGGATATTGTAGGGAGAAATTACTTGTTAATCACTTCTGGGAGTTAAAGGGTTAAGGTCTCCATCCATCAAGAGTTCAGTATCAATAACTCTTCAACTCTTATTAATTATTCAATGAAAGTTAAATGTCATGCCTGAGAACTAAACACAATGCCCAAACCAGATGCAAGCTGGGAGCTCTTGACCTGAAAGTCCAGCATGTCAAATGAGAAGCCACAGCATCTTGCAACATGAATTTGTTGGAATAACCACAAATTAGCAAATACTACATGTACCAGTTGGTATTTAATAAGAATCACAGACACAAAAAAGGACAAACTTGGAAGTTTGAACTACATGTACAGACATTATATTACTGCATTTTATTTGTGTTTTGTTTACCTGGATACTAAGTAGCATATAAGAAATTGAATAAAACTCTTTCCAGCAATTCAAATCATCAAGAAAGTCTGCACATACTTGACCTGTGTCTGCATCAACTGAAAAGCAACAATGGCAAGAGACAGTTAAAATCTGAAGATTTTCTTTACTATAAGGATGCAAATTTAATTTTTCGATCATTACTAATAGCTTTATACTGCTTGTAAACTTTTATGGAATGATGGTCTTGGTAAGAATTGGAAGGAGGAACCCAGAATATATTGCAAATAGAATAAGGAAGATGATAAGTTTTAAGCCTGGTAAAGAAATAAAAAAAGATGTTTTTCATGTCACAAGTGTGGGACAAAGAAAATGTGTCCTGCATCAACTGCTAGGATCAGCAACATTGCCAATCCTAGCAGAATGCAGGACAAGTGTCATATTGAAGAAATGTAAAATGCTTTCAGTGTTTACATAGCCTGATGTAAACACGCAGGAGGTTGGGTGAACACGAGATAAGCATAGGAAACCACGATGCGAAGCAGAGTGGTTTCCAGCTTATTGAGTACATTTTACATTTCTTTTATAAAATAACTAATGAAAGAGGAACGAAAACCATGTTTACATAGGCTCATGTAAAATGATTTTATGGCCAATCAGAGCGTGCGTACTATTTGAATTATTTTATAAATGAACATATATGTGAAATCCGAAGGTCTGAGGTTTGATTCCTCAAGGGGACTCAGAATTTTTTCGTTGTTTCGCACTTGTGACAAGTCAAAAATACATTTTTCTCCACAATATACTCCTTGCATAAAAATCTACATACAGACTAAGAGAAACAAGTTTTGAAGGGGAGGGGAAGTGTGACATAAAGTTAAGTTGATTGTGGTTAATCATGACAGGCTTGAAACACTTCCTCAAGCAGCACCTGCTCAAGAGAACTTTGACAGTGTAAAAAAGCTCTCATTGCATTTGTCACATTCAAACTCTTCTAAAGTGGTACTCTGAGGTTACTTTCAAGGAGCCATAAGGTCTCTTTTTTTAAGTTGGGAAAGGGGGAGGGTGCAAGCCTTTTTAATTAATTACCCTACTCCTTTGGCCCTAGCAAAAAATTTGACATTACTGCATCTGAGAGAAGCAAACATAATTTATTACAAACTCTCTATTTGGGGAACACAGTAACTTCCAGGGCAATCCAAAACATCACATACAAAAAATCATTCTGACCCCACAACCCTAACAACATAACAATCTCACCATTTGGATGGAAGGGTATTGTGTGAAAGAAAATCTTTGGTGGTCTGCCATTGTAGCACTCATCAAACTGAAGATACAACTTGAAGACACCACCTTAAAAAAAAAAAATAGAAAAAAGTTATTTGTAATTAATTCCAAAGATAAGGTGGGTGATTCTCCTTTCTATCTTTATAGACCACCTTATGAGCTAGTTATGAGAATTTGGTACTATATCAAAGTAAGATGTGTATCTGTATTCTCACCCCTTATTTTATTGGATAATGTTTTGAGTTTGTGAGGAAAAGTTAAAAGTTTAAGGGTGAAGACAGCCACAGGGTTAACAAAATGAAGATCAAAATCATTCCACATTTTTTTCAAGAAAGATATTTTGCCGTATGACTTATAGACAGTCTTTGGCAGAGGAAAGCAAAAAAACAACAGTGATTCATGTACCTTCCCACATTGTGTCTTTAGGGCCTTTTAGGGTACCTTCCCAGGTAAACATGTCCACATCCTCATTCAGTGGGTTGGCCTTTATACCCTAAACAAAGAGAAATATATAAACCCTGGAATATTATGACTCAGTGGTGGGTGGTGAATTCAAGAGAGGGTCTCCCTTCTTCTGAATCAAAGTTCACCCTACCCATCCACGATAAAAAAAAGTTTTGGATCTGCCCTTGCGACTCTCAATCAAACCATGATATGTCACACACATACTTCTGGTTTCAAGCTTCAACTGTATATTCATAATGGTAATTGGACTGAACGGAGTCCAATTCAGTCTGTAATCATGCAAGTGATGGCAAAATCAGACGACCAAGAAGCGGGAGTCCAATTTGTTAACTATGGGTATGATTACTGACGCAATTGGATGACACAAAGTCCTGTTACTAATTAATCATAACCATTACAATGTTAAAAAAAATAAATCTAGAACAAATATATCCAATGGAGACAATTGCTGGTGTTTGATTACAGCCAACTGTCCAATCACACTGTCTGATTACCACTGTACAGAATGATTAGTGAAAAATGAGGCACCCAATGTACCAATCACATTTGAGGAATTGAAATGGTTATGATTAATAATGGTAATGGGTCCGAGTGGAGTCCAATTTGTTCCGTAATCATATGAGTGATTGACTAAACCAAATAACTGCAAAGCAGGAGTCAGATTTGTTAATCACAAGTATGATTACAGACAGAATTTGACAGCATGAAGTCCTGTCCTGTTACCAATTAATCAAAACTATGACAAAACTTGAGAAAGAAACTGGACATCAGTTAACATTTTCATAAAAAAGCAACAGTTAACTCAACAAAATGCGAGACAACGGCACACATGATGCATTCTATCCAATTACACAGGCATGATGTGTTAACTGTCCATTAAACTGTTCTATTACACTATCCAATTACAACCATGACGCGTACACAGTCCTATTTGTGCTCAAATCAGGCTGGTAATAACCAATCACGTTCAAGAATTTTGTTAGAGTTTTGATTAATTCATTAACAGTAAAAACTACAACTCTTCTCCAAGTCCCAAAGTGCTGATTTTCATAATTCAGCCACTAAATAGATGATCACTGAGGTCCACTTCATGGGCAAGCTCAAATTTTAAGAACGAGGGAGTAATAATAAAACTAGTAGTATTTACTAAGGTGAAAACAGAAACCTTAAATTCTTTAGTTAACAGTAACTAGTACCCCTCGTTTTGTCGACCATAACACATATCTAAGTTTACTACATCGAATTCTGACCCCTAGACTCGTGAAAAATCATTTGAAGGAAGTAACATATATAAACGTGAACGACAACAACACTATACGATCGCGATGAACACAAATACATCTCAAATGAGCACAATACATACTAACTATGCGACGCTCACTAAATATTATTGGAAGGTACATGTGTGATTAGTGTAACTTACCCAAGGAAGCTCTTCCTTTTGCAATTTAAACCACTCTTTCTCTAGTAACATGTGCGCCCTTGAATGCATTCTTCCACTATTTTGGAGCACGCACAATTTCGGCTCTCTAGAGGCAAGTTACTTAAAAACGAAAGAGCAATTACAGCAATCTCTCCGACAAACACTTCACTCTGTCCATGAAAACTTCCTCACTAAATTTAATCATAATTTACGTCGCTGCTGCAGCCGATTTGATGCACTCTACAGGGGTACCAGTATTCAAAATCGAAGGAAGATGAAACCTTCTCCTGTATCGTCCGCCATATTGTAACAATTATTCTTCGGCGTGGTTGCATAGCAACAACAATAAATAAGATTTAGAGCCCAGTTTCCCAGTTTTCGATCATGCCCTCGCGATCATCGAAATTTACAATTTTTTTTTTCTTGTTATCAGTTACCATTATTATTAATGTTATCACATCATTTATATTTTAGTTCTTAGTCTATATCGGGTATGATTATAGCTCCATCCCATCACAAAGAACAGTTTTGATCTTTTGAACTGTTCGCAGATAATTTTCAAATTGAAATTTTATGCAACGGAAAATCTCGATCAACCTTTTGTTTTTCAAGACCCAAATAAACTCTGAATTTATTATGCGCATTTGAAGTCTAGTGCGTTAGCTCCATCGGGAAGCTCCGTATCTGGAGTCGACAGCCCGAGCGATACGCAATGAATGTGTTTTCACACGGTTTGTTTGTTAGGGCGGCATTTGTAGATCAGCTCTATGATCAAGCGAAGTTTCTTGTAGGACGGATCTTCTTCTCAAGGAAACTGTAGAGTAAAAATTTCCGTGGTACTAAAATTTTCCAAAGTCGAACTTTTTTCGCTTTTGGAGGCTTTTGTAACTAATCTAGTAGGCACGCTGATGCGTTATGCAAATCTGCTTTAGTTTAGCAGCTCAAGAAGCTCTTATGCAAACAATAACCTGTCTCGTCCTTTCTATCAACCAATGGCCGCCTATCTATATTGACATAAGAGCGAATATTTATTCAAATCGTTGAATTCAATATTATGCCCTAGAAACGGCTTATAAACAGAAACCACGGTAAAAAGAGTTGAGAGGAGCTGAAGCAAGAAAGTGTTTTGAAAATAAAATGTCGTCAGATGAAGAAAGCGTTGAGGACGAAGGAGTCCCCTATTTAGGAGAATATGAAGGTGATCGAAATGAAGAAGAAGAAAGACATGGAAAAGGAAAAGCTAAGCTGCCTAATGGCGATATATATGAAGGAGAATATTCACATGGCAAGAGACATGGTCAGGGAACATACAAGTGAGATCATTTTTGTTATTATTCGATTGAAAAACAGTAAGTTATAAAGACAACTTTAGTCGGAATAGTGGGAAAATGATAATCTAGGTGACCATTGAAAATTCAAAGCCAGCTACTTCAAATTTCGCGGTCATCAAGCTACAATGAGATTCTTCTGTAATGTCTTCTCTCATTGATAAAATTCCTTTCACGTTTAGATGCCGTTTAAGCGCTTAATTCTAACTAGGTAATTCTTCTTGCCGATTCTAGATTTCAAAACGGAGCAAGATATACTGGAAGCTACATGAACGGTATAAAACACGGCGAGGGAACATTCCTGTATCCTGATGGCTCCAAATATGAAGGGTACTGGCTCAATGATGTCCGTCATGGCCGCGGGAAATACACCTACCCGAACGGGGACATTTACGAGGGGGAGTGGGCCGACAACCAGCGTCACGGTCAAGGGGAGTACACGTACGTGGAGACCGGGTCTAAATACCGGGGGATGTGGGTCCATGGGAAAATGGACGAAGTCGGGGAATTGATTCATGCTAACCATCGGTATTCCGGGGGATTTTTGCAGGATAAACCCAGCGGAAAAGGTAAATATGTGTTTGATCACGGCTGCGAGATGCGAGGGAGATATGAACTGGTTGAAGTTGTTCTTGAGCCTGACAACGAGGAAGAGGAAGCCATCACTGTTGTTGAACCAAAGTGGAAAATAGAGGAACTTGTACCACTGGATTGAAAATTTAGCGCAGGTTTTAGTTGATCGAAGGAAGAATGCGAGAAAACGTTTTAACATTTCATACAGGCATATTTTGCTCACAAACGGTAATCAACCAAAAATCGATAGCCCTCCAAGACCCCAAAGACTTTTCATTCAATGTATATGATAGTTTCGCAAAAATATCGGCCTCTTAGACATTTAACAGGTTTTTAGGCTTTCTCGTCATGTAAATCGAAAGTCTTCCATACAAGAACGAATATAACCCATTTGAAAGGCAAAAATCCCTTGAGTGCCGTTAAATGATCTCAAAAGAGACAACAAAGGGACTGGCTGAAAAGGGTTTATCTTCTACTTATAATAGAAAATAGAGTTCCAATAACCGCTTTTTTTGTGGACTCCATGTACATTGTTTGTCGCAATAGCGAAATTGATATACGCGTCAGCTTGTCTGCTGGAGCAACAACAACCCCCACGTAGATTTAAGTCCTATCTGCGACGTGCACAAAGTTCCCCCCTCCCCTACTCTGTTTGCTTTGTTACTTTTGTTTAAAACTGACTTGCGCGATTTGTTTCTTTTTTTCATTTTTTTCCATTTTGCGCTTTATTACGATTTCCTTTTTAGAGGGGGGGAGGGGAAATCAGTCTTCGCCAACAGAGTATTAAGGTGGTGGACCAGGACTATAGAAAATTGACTACCGTTTAGCTGCCAATATTGGAGGGGGTCATGAAACTATCACTGAGCCACATGCAGATTCTGTTGTGTCACGACCTAAATTATCAACCCCCCCCTCCCTTCACCCCACACTCTCCCGGGCTTTAAAAAAATGACTGTTCTTTACCTTAATTCCATATTCAGTAAAGCTTAATCATGTTTTAAAGCTGTTTTGTTAAACACGGTTTAAATTAAAATTGTTTTCTTTGTCGAAGCTTCTTGAACTGGTTTTTGCCGAATTCAAATTTAGAAAATTGAAACTATGAGTTCCCCTGCCCTGATTACAGACTGGTAAGGCACAATCAAAGGTCTATCCTAATCCTAATGATTGGGTTGTGAAGTTTTTCAAGGAAAGAATGGCAGGTGAATTCTCAAAAAAAAAAATCTAGCCTAGTTGACCGCGCTCATAGTAAGAGGCCCTGAGAACTAATCGATAATGAATTGATTGGTTTCCAGTCTTTTAGCGGAAATCGCATCATGGCTGAAGTATCATTTCTGCGTCCAATGAACGAGGCAACAAATGTCGCTTTGTTGCCCGAAGGAGTTGGCTCCAAAAGGTCTTAAGAAGACTACGCAAATATAATAAGAGTTAGATAAGTTAGAAAAACCCTCTATGTTGCCCCCCGATAATTGCAACTTGCTGCTGCCCTTTCAGATTACAATAATTTTGTAATCCACTTTGGGGCGTTACTTTCGACTGTGATCGTAGCTGTTTTTTGTTCTTTTGAATAGCGAATAAATAGCGAATCAAATCGTATCCTGAACACCATGAAACAATTACATATTTGATAGCTCATCCTAGGTCACGTCTGTTTATACCAGCCTTTTAAACATGAAAATAAGAACTGTATGTATATCGGCTGGTCATTCGGAACGACCTCTCGGAGTTTACATAACAGGTCACGTGGAATCCAAAGCGGATATATTACGCAAATTGTTCATGTTAAGATAACGCTAGAACCGAGTTTTGCGCCATTTTCATTTCTTGCAATGTAGTAAATGGATGTAAGGTTTTCAGTCGAAGGTGAGAGAGGAGACATGAACTGAATCGCCAAAGGCTACAAAACATACGAATGGTAAGATAAACGTGAACTTCAACAGCCGCTATAAGCCTTTTTTGTGTACGTTGTTAATTATTTGAGCGATTAAGTTCAGTTTCGAATTTGAAAGAGAAGCACAAGGCAGTTGCTGTTTGCGCGGGATTTCGAAAAACGACCAAAGTACATATCCGTTTCCAGATAGCTCTATTTAAGAGCAGTTTATCCTTTTATTCTTAATATTGTAGGGGATACAGGTCTCGTGTTGGTCAGGAGCCGAATGAGTCAGTCTTCGGAAAGGGAATGGCGCTGCAAATCAGTTCCGTGACATTTTTTCATGTTGCGGTTGTTACAGAGTACAGACAAACATTTCTGCCCGAATTTTAGGTCCTCGAATCTTCGAAAACATCAGAAATACTGAAGAATGACTAATCATTGGATTGGATTCGCAAGGATCCGCAAAGGTAAGCGGAATGTTGATTAGTTTTCATGTGCTGACCGTTATTTCGTTTGAAGTTTGTGCAACCAAATTAACCCTATAATCAACAATTGATATGTTTAATGAATGGGTGTTGCGTTGTAAACTGTAGGTACAGCAAATTAGTCGATCTATCAAGTTTTAGGAAATTTAAACTAATTTTTTTGTATTTGTGATGCGTATGTTTATTGGCAAAGGGGAATATAGCACATCGAAAAGAAGTATTTAACGTAGTTGAAAAATTGGCGCGCAAACATGAAATAAACAAACAGTCGTTGATACTTATGCGGGCAAAAGTGCTTTTTTCGCATCTAGAAATGCTTGCACCGGAGAAAAAAGTCACAATTCAGATTATTTCTTCCAAAAGAACTCAAGAGAATGAATTCGTGTCGTACAAACTGACCGAGAAAGTCTCTCCAGCATTCTATCATGAGGAACTGGAAATGGCGGGCTGAAATGGGTGCCATTTTCATTTCTCGCCGAAGCATGTTTGAACATCATAATTTTGACGAGAGACGAATACGAAGAAACTTAGGATTGCACATGATCCATATAAACTCGATTATTTAACTCGAAATGTTGATTCCTTTGGGTTGAATCTATGTATTTACCGCTATTTATCGACTCGGTTTGTGATACCTAATGTCACAAATTAAAGATGGTCAAAAATCGCTTTGAAACATTCACAAAGCGAGTCGAACTGGCTCTTTTTTATTGTCTTTATTTGGCACTTGTATCTGTGATTCACTGAACGATTTTTGGACGAAAGAATATCATTCGTGGAGTAGAAGAATTTGTTTAAGTTGAAAATTTTGGAGGACATGCACTCGTGCTGTTATCACTCTTCGCGTCGAAAAGCTTCTGGAGTCGAAGCTAACAAAATTGTGTCCTTCGGCGTTGGATCTGCTTATTTCCAGTAAAAATTAAAACTCTTCGCCAATTATTTGTTTCAAAATAGCGTACTTCAGTTGGATGAATTCTAGGCGTTAAGTTCAATTGCAGAAGCCCCTCTGGAGGTTCTCTCGAGCATTCTTTCTTGCTTAAGCAACAGAAATGGAGCGCGATAAAATTGGTGCAATTTTCATTTCATTTCATATGCATGTTCAGACATCGTAATTTTGACAAGAAAAAAGAGGGGAGAGACTTAGGATTGGACTTAATCTCGTACGTTCGACAAAGGTTGAATAGGAAAGCTTTTTCTCCAAATATGAGCCAAATTTTGTAGAATTGTATTTTATCATCAATTCAGTGATTTCCTCAACATCATGCTTGACATCTTCGTGCATGTATCAGTAGTTTACCAATTGATATACTTCGCAATACGAACCAACTATTTAAAACTCATCTCATTACATGATTTGAATTGAAACAAATGGAAGTTGTATTATACTAATTTAGTTTGAAAATCAAGTGCGTGAATGCTTGAAAGGATTCACGAGGTCTAAGAAATAACTGCACGATCGTAACTGTTTTGTCGATCTCGAATATATGGTTAGTGCAAGAGTATTACATTGCTTTTTTCTTATTTAGAAATGTTTGCACCGAAGAAAGTAGTCACAATTTGTATTTTTTCTTCCAAATAACTTGAGAGAATGAATTGATGTCGTATAAACCGCAGGAAGAAGTCTCTCCAGCATTCTACCTTGCTCACATTAAGAACGAGAAATGGCAAGCTGACGCTTCGTGTCGATTCGTATCTGCCGTATCTTTTGAGCTAAACCCATGTTTTAAGGGCTAAACTGGTTTCTAAATTATGTTGACTGAAGAAGTGTGAGCAGGAGTAGAGCATCTACACTGGCAGGAAAACTGCGAGTGTAATTATCGATCCATGGCCACGACTGATGTTTTTGACGTTTTCGTCATTGTATAAGCCGTGGAAATTGAATTAGTCGACTTACTTGCTCCTAAATAATCTCCAATATTTTTTCCACAGACCTTGTGTTTTTGGGCTATGGGTCAAGCAGTGTTTAATAGGAACCGAATGAAGCGTGTACCCAAAGGCCAATCTGTCTTCACAGTCGTAACATGAAATAATTTAGCTTCGTGCCAAACAGTGGCAGAAGGTTGCTGGTTGGCAAACTTCCTAGAAGCCAGTTTGGCAGTGATAGCGGCCTGAAGGTAGGCAAAACAACGTCCTAAGTATGGCAATAATTCAAAATTTAATCCCTTCGTTGTAAATCCTAAGCTACCTCATGGTGAGTTAAAAATTGGCGCCATCATAGAGTTGATTGCTCCTCGATTAACGGCTGCCACTCATCAGCACGTAGTCAGATGGTGACGGGAAAACAACGTCACTTGTGATTGGCTGATAAATCCAGCCCCACAATCGATTGCATCACCCAGCCGCGTGCAAGGGTCATTGAGATAAATTAATACATTACGTCACTCAAACGTGATTGGTTGGGTTTCTAATTAACTACTGTGCGCCAATTTCGAAAACCTTATTTGCCATCTCTCTTTAGAAGGAGCAGCACTAAAGAGGACAGTCAAAGAACCTGCAAATGAAAGCAATAAAAGATCAGAGTCAAGTTTTGAATTTCTGGCTTGACGACGAAGGTAAGGAGATTTGCGTTATTTTATTTCTAATCCCCAAAATTTAGCCTTTGCTTTTGAGCACTCCGTAGCAGCATACAAATATCTGTCCTTACGTTGCGCGAGGGCTCACGTCCAGTTTCTTTAGAAACTACATTACAGGCAAACTTTCTGTTTGCGGTACAACGACGTGCATGACTACCTCTACATGTGACAATTGCTTCTCAAGGAATTTCTACTTGTTGGCAAAAAACAACAGGCATGATTTTAACACTGTTCAGAAGTAAATTTGTTGAGGTACTTCTCGCTCCAGAAAATGGCGCGAAAACAAGTTTCAAAACGTTCAGGAAGCGTCATCCTTAACAGAAACACGTGCGCTTGTAGCTAAATTTGGAAGTGCATTCAATTGCATAACCCAATCACGTGCAGGAGGCATGAAAATGGCGCGAAAACAAGTTTCAAGGTTGATATCTGTATAAGATAAGGCGCGCAAAATAGGCTAGTTTCGAACTGTTTGTGCGAGAAAGTCTGGTAACTAATTATTAGCACCAAACCGAGGCTGAGGGGAAGAAGTCCAAGTCAACGCGACAAAAGGTCGAATGAGTGGAGAAAACGAGACGCTAGCGAAGACATCAAAGAAGTACTTCCCGCTAAAACTTTTCCGTGTTTCTTCTGTTATTGCTCTGAAAGACCAGGAGTACGCCCTTAAGAAAACAAAGTTTATAGAGAAGAAGCTTTCAAAGAAAAGGAATATCTGACTGTTTTTTGCCAAACCAACAAATGGATGATATGATAAAAAAGTTTATCGATGGTAAGAGCTGATAACAAAACAATTCGAAACGAACTCGATAGCAAGTCAGCATTTAAACGGGAACTTTTCATGGACGATGTACTGAAAAATGACGAATCCGTGAAATTCTTCACGGTATTTCCAACTTTGGCCTGTCATCAGTTAAACTGTGGTACTTCAGATCCTCCACATGCCTGTCGGTAAATGAGCAAAAACCCTCAAGACTTTTATACAACCGTAAACAGTCTTCATCGTAACCATCTTTTCTAACCAGAAAATGATGAATATCGGGAAACCTGAAGTCTGTAATACCGGTGAAGTCATGGGTCCAAAATTTAAGCGAAAGTGAGTGGGGAAGCAATTTTCCTCCTGGCAATGTTATCTTGGAATTAATTAACTCGTCGCGTTGCACTGTGTCCTTTTCAAGTTTGGAACTTTTATTTCAGCTGCGTTCTTGCAAAGCTCTAGCAGTTCTGCCCTTTTCCTACATTTACCGTTTACAGAAATTTGAATATCCCTTTTCTTTAAAAGTCTGGAACTTTCATATTCGTGAAGACATCATTCCCTCCCATGTTGAGACGAGTCGTATTCCCCTCAGCCTCGACTTGATGCTGAAAACTAGTTACCAGATTTTCTCGCACAAACAATTCGAAACTAGCCTATTTAAAGTTCCTTTGTTGATCTTACTATCCCAGCAGCCCCTACAGCCCTATAAAAGAGAGGAGTTGTATATTGACGAGGAAGGGGACATCGCAGAAGAGTTCAGCTGATAACCAGTAAATCAGGAAATCCACGAAAAGGTACGTGCCTGCTTCCATCTCTGCTTCCTCTCAATCCTCCCAGTCTGTGGACTGTTTCTCGTCATACTTACCGATGAAATTAACTCCCTACGAGAAAAGAGAAGAAAACATCTCTTTCACGACATAGTTCTTTCACGAATCATTTGAGGGTTGCAACCGACCAAGGGATCATTCTTTTAAACATGGCTTGGGGGCCGAATGATCTCTCCCCCACTGACGTCGGTTAGAACCCAAGACCAGTGGCAAGACTCGGAGACAGGTCGTAACGACAATTTGCTTCATACGACATGGACAAGGTTTTTGAAAAACATTTTCCTTTGTGAGCGGATATGTCTCTAAAGCAATTTGTAGACAAATTCTGGCTTGCTTGATTTCGTGCGTATCATAATCACAGTATAACGAAGGGATGCTTTTTGTGTTAGAATGGTATACAAGAATAAATTTGTCCAAGTATCTGTCTGTCTTCGGGAATTGTCGTTAAAAGTGGATTTGAAAATAAGAAAGAAATTTTAAGTAGTTAGAGGTTCTAGCCGACCAAGGGATCATTCTCTATACGGCTTGGGGGCCGAATGATCTCTCCCCCTACGGTGTCGGTGAAAACCTATCCTAATTGGTCTCCAATCGTTCAGTGAAATATTTTCCAGTTCTTAATGGAAGATTTCAGTATAGTGTGTTGATCAGAATTTTAAATAAGTTACTCTTTAGAGAGTTCACAGTTACCAACATATTGATAACGTATGAAGGCTATAAATCGTAGATATTTTTCGTCTAAATCTTTTGTAGAAGAGTTCGAAGCTACGATCTATCCAAAGCTGGGTGTTCCAAGATAACGACATCACTCTAATCAATCTGAAGTGTAGGCGATTTTTGAAATCTGGTGAACACACTGCGAGGATACCTTGTGTGAAAGGTTGGTTAACGTTGAATTTTTTTGATACCATTTTGAAGGAAACACGTGAGAAAGATCCATCAAAGAAAATTGTGTTTTCACCACATCCAAAGATACATATCGTACGATTAGGTTATTCTTTGAGACCTCAAAATGTAATCAATCTAAACATTTTAGATATGCTTCCACATGGCGGAGATAGAAATCGTATAATACCTTAGCATACCTCTCTTTAAATACAGACGTCATGTCGTATGTTTAGAAATATTTTTAAAATATCGTACAATTTATGTTGGAAAACCTCTCTATTTTTTTCTTCTCCACAAGATGCCCTCTTCTGAAATACAGAAAGTCGGAGCAATGTTACGAGAACTTGGAGACCTGACGAACCAAAGCGCTCAAGGAAATCGTCCGGCCAACGAAAATATTGTCGTAATCCTACTAGTCTTCTTTATTTATCTCTGCTGGACTCATAACCAGCAGAGACGAGAAATCTAGAATGCTGACGAGAGAGGCACCATAACTCTGACCAATTAATCAATTCATCAGCATTAATTTAAAGTAAAATGTGAAGAATTATCGTGAAAAGCTCATAGATTATGTAAGAAATTCATATAGATTGTAAAATTGATATATCTTCTAAGCAATCCAATGTTTTCGGGTAATATAAAATTGCTTGTGTTAATATCTCACAAATTTTTGTAGTCTGTCAAACAAGATTTTAAAAGAGAGAGTTTATAGTTAATATATTATGCTTATATCACGGTCAAAATTTTAAATTATAAATTTCATCCAAAAACATTTTTTTCACAAGTTATATGAAGAAAAAACTTCTATTAAACAATACTTTTTGACGCCTGAAAAAATTTTCGAGCGGATTTTTACTGATTGGTTTTGAAAAGTCCCGCGCGTCTTTCTTTGTAACAAACAGAGGAAGTTATCAAAATAACTGCGAAAAAACGACAATAATTCTGAGGAAGTTTGGAGACAAAATTCTGCTTATTGAAATTTGTTTAAATACTCAAGTTAGCCGTGAATGAATAGATTTTCTTGAAAGTTAGGTTATATTAAGAAAATTTTAGTGTAGCATCGTAAGTAAAATCAGTACAATGTTAGGAGAATTAAAAACGAAAAAATCTACACCTCTTTCCTTTTGTTCTATTCTGGGCTATTGGTGACCACACTCCCCACTCCCCCATTTCCACACCAACAGCACCACCCAGCACCTTGAAAAAGTCACTATGGGCGTGCACAGACATAGTCAAGCTATCATTTTGATTTAGAGTCATTTATTAAACGTAGCTGGTTAAATATTCAAACATTGCAGTTTCTTTATGACCTACGCGATTATCCATTAACTTAGCAAGGTAGTCTTTTTATTAAAAGACAAATGGAAAGACGAATCCATAGGATCAGTTTCAGTACCTGAGCAACTTCGCCCCTACTCCTCCCCTAATCCAACAATAACCTTAACTTGTTATCAGGGGAGAGATGGGTGTACAGTTGCTCAGATACTGACATTGATCCAATCTTTTTATTTCCGCTCTACAGCGAAAACCTCGAGCCTTCTGAGTAGTGCTCCTGGACCACAAATATTTTCCTGATATTTCAGCAGTGGACATTTCATCAAGGTTTTAGGACTTCTTTCTGGGTTTCCCAGCTTATCTCCTCTACTCTTCTAAAGGGGGCCACTTATGCCATCCAAGAAAGCACATTTCCCTGCTAGGCATTAAATCCTCGTGTGCAAAAATTCCCCATTTCGCTCACCAAACACGCATTTAGCGAGATTCTCATGTAAGAAAATTAATCTCAAACAAGCAGGTGCGCACGCTTCCTCTCACTTTTCACACCGTACTGTCATTTTTCGCTTTATAGTTCTCTTTGTAGTCAGTCTGTATCACATCCGGGAGATTCGATAATGACGCACTATTACAGGAACAAGTCAAACCGGTTTCAAGCGAAACGTGTTCTGTTCTGCTTTGCTCTGGATCCTAGGAGTAAAATATTTAAACAAATATCGTTAATGAAGTAAATTATTTTAAATTCTGCTGAATCAGCAGTACAGCTATAAACACTTTCATCGGGAAATCAGGAGAATTATTTGATTTTCACTCTTTTTTTTTCTTAATCCTTTACACCCTAACATCAGTAAGCATATCCTCCATACTCCATTCTACCATATATCTCTTTACATTACCTAAGGTGTTAAGGAGAATTTGTATAACAATTAATTTAAGAGCTTCTTTAGTTTGTGATTATTTCCTATATTGTCGTGACCTTAATGTTTGTTTCAGGAGTGATAATATATAGATTTAGCCAAGCCTAAAAGCGCAGCTCGCATTTTTTTCCCCGCACGTCTCAAGGACACAACGCCTTGCCCCGGCCAGGACTAGAACCTGGGTCGTCCGACTCGGAGCCCAGTGCACTGACCACTGGACTACTGGACAAAGCCGTGGCGTTGGCGTGCCCGCGGTACAGTTGACCACGCACGTTAAAAGTAGCACCTTGTACCCGTCGTACATCCAAATTTTTTCGGCTTGATGGGTTACTGCTATTTTGTATAATTATGGGGCTACGCTCTGCGCACTTCGCTAGTACAAGGAGGAATTAGATGCTGGTCACTCTCAGGAGTCCAATGGTTAAAAAAAAAAAAAAAATAGCGCTTCTCAGTCAAACAGTATGTTTCTTAAAGAAAAGAATTAAGCAAAAAAGAGGCGTCGCTCTTTGTTTTTATTTCAAACATGGCTTCCTGTTATGGTAAGCTCCTTTATTAGTTCGAAAAAATTCGTGTTCCTCTCCGTAACTGGCCTAGAAAACGCGTCATCCTTTGAATCAATGAGATCTAAAGTTAGAGACACAAAGACTAACTCGCGAAGTTGATTTCCATTGTGAACGTCAAGTTATCACTGGGTTAAAAGAAGTAGCTTGTTTGTTCTCAAAGAATTTGTAACAACTTGTGTTTTGATTGATGATTTCTGATCTTGAATAACGCACTTTTCAATCATAATTCAACTTCCATACGACAAGATATTTTGGGGAAAAATTACAGCTTTGGCAATATCATACAACAGCGAGTTTAATAATAAACGGCTCTTCAAAGAGAAGTTCACTTCCCTGCCGTAAGAGCGCACTTCGATTGATTGCCATGAAGCAAAAACCAGAGTTACTACGCGAAGCCAATAAGAACTCAAGACAAAAACATTTACATTGTCTGATGCGCAGCAAAAACAGAAGTGGCCACGTCATGATTGGTTTCAGTTTTAATTCTGATTGGTTGAGAGGATGATGCAAGTTTTCTCACAGAGAGAAGTAAAACAAAACTAAGGCAATCCAAAATGACTTTTGACACTCAACGGCAATTTTCTCTAATTATAAAGCAGTGAAATACCTGATGTAGTGTTGGTGTACAACTTCCCAACTCATTTTGACCATCAGTTTGATTCTCATCTTGTTCCTCAAATAGCTGAATTTCTGTCTGTTCAACGTTTTTCTGTAGATTTTCATCTTCTGTGTTTTAAAAAAGAGAGAGATCCATGTCTTTAAACGCGATGGCTAACAAGGCATTGCTTGGTCCAGTAAATTTTATTTATTGTAGAAGTGATAAACCTAGCTTTAACACTGGAGTTTTATAAACATGGCTCAATGATACAATTTGACAAAAAGCGTTCAAGAGTTCTGTTTAAGATCACGGGTTTAAATGAAATTTCTCACTCGTTTCGCTAAGCTTCAGCAAAGACACGTTTATCACTAATCCACTTCCACTAATCATATCAGTCTCTGAATGAACCGAGAAATACTATATCATAAAAAAAAAATATCGTACCAACTGTTCCATATATATTGGTCACTTCTGCTGGTGGTTTATAAACAAATCTTTCTAGAAATGCAACATCCTCGGGGCGTGTTATGGTATTAGTTCTCCGCTGAATTGAACCCTGCGGCTGACGAAAAATCAAAAGTACAGAAATATATTCAACTTTCTGAGGTTCTCTACATACTAGAAAGAGTAGACTACTTCAGTCGCAAACATCAAAAAACGCAAAAAACTCATAGCACCAACTTTGGCATAAAAATGTAACTTCCTGACTTTTTCCCCCTTTCAAGTTATAGATCAAGGGAGAATCGGGGAAAGGGGACTGATTCCCCCCCTCCCTGTTCTCTTCTCCCCTCCCACCCCTCCCTTAAATGTACAATTCTCCTGGAGTTCACATGAATTTCTTTGAATAAATCTGTAGCAAAATAGCATTTTCCTTTGCCATTTTATCGAGATAATACATTTCTCATTAAAGTATTTCCTATTTATTATGAGATTGGATGCAATTTGAGATATTCTGCAAAACTGCACGAGTCTATGCAAGCAGAAGCATGCCAACTTTTGTAAAGATCTTTTCACCTTCAATTCTCTTACTGGCAAGAACACAGTCCAGCACAGTCTGTCTGAAACCACTGGGTGAGGAAGCAAAAATTCTGGCAGCACTAGGATTTACAGCATCCTCAAGAACTGGATTTGGTAGCAGCATCTGTGAAATTTGACAAGAAATTGAAAGAAGTGATTCAATCTTTGGTTGTACAGTCAGAAATCTTAAGAGTGAATGTCTCTAAAAATCAAAGAAAAATAACAAAATCGCGGACATGGTCAAAAAATCGTTTCGTCCCATTTTTTGTCTACAGGTAGCTATAGGTACTACTTAAAGTGAAGTGAGGTTAGTTTGTGTAAATATTCATTTTAACGGAAATAAACCGATACTAATTGCATGATCGAAAATGAGTGCCTGCGAGCTCTAAATTATGCAGTTTTCAGGCCGTCCTTGCATGAACTAAAATGCAACAGCAGAACTTCTCTAGCTATAAATATATACTTGTGGCCTTCCATTACCAAGTTGTAGTGATATTTTTTACATCGTGTCCTTCCTGACGAAACCACGGGTTAATTACCAGTGGACGTGTTCGCCATATTTAATTCATACCAAACCCGGCCTAATGTAGTGTGGCAAAAATGCATGTGGTAGTTTCTCAAAATCTCCAGAAATACTATCACGAGGGCTTATAAGGTGGGTCTTCAAATTCATCGTTTAATTTTTCTGGTATCTTCTGCTGTTTTGATGTACCAACCAACCAAACTTCGCTAAAATTTTAAATGGCGCCATATTGAAATGAACAAAATCAACATTGCAGTGACACAAGCAAAGCATTGTTTGAGTCGCAGCCGCACTTAACTTTTTATTTTTGCTTTGAAATCAATAGTTCCTTACCTTAGAAATCTTTATATATCTATATAGGCCCTTGTTATTCCGCTTGGAAGATATTTTCGAAATACTGTCATTTGCAATTTGGTGTGAAGGGGGCCGACCGGCTAACTCGTTGAAGCCACTGAGCCGGGATGAGTAAAATAAAGTTACTTGTTGTTGTCACTTTCTACAGCGTGTCACAACCCAGTTACCTTTAGTCTACTTTGATCCTAATTTGGTTTTTTTTTTGATGTCTCACACAAAAAGGGTCCCGCACAAAACGGCAGGTAACGCTAGCGATTTGCCGGATTTTAATTTTTCACAGGTTCCTGTCACTCTGCGTGACATATGATAATCTGTCACGTAACGAGATCAACAAACAATTCATTCTGCCTCACATGTAAGATCTAAACAAATATATTGCCATCATGAACGAGAACGATACAACAAAGAAATAGACTTTAAAAAATTTCACAAATATAAACCGTACAGTGAAAACCTTATGGAACGAAAATAACGATACAATTTTCCCACGGAAAACAAATGTGATCGGTTAACGAAAGTGAACAAAAAACAAAAGCGTAATAATCGTCGGTGAAGGGAATAAAGACAACGGTTGCTTTAACTCCAGCAGAAAAAGAATGTCTTAATCTTTACATGATATTGTAGGTGGCGTTTGTGGCGCAGAGGAAGCCACAAGCGTTTTTTACAATTTTCAGGTGCTGAGACAGAGATTGAACTTATCTTAGCAAGAAGCGGGATTTTCGTGAAGCCTGATACACGGAAGAGCTGCTCCTCTTCCAAACCAGGAGAAAAAGAAAATGAGAATTGAACCTGTAAGATTAGAACATTTTGTTTCTTTCATAACGAGTCCACACGTTACTCAGGATGTTCCTTTCGGGGAAAAACTTCTAAAATTGTCGACTGGCGAGATCATAAAAACACCCAATGTTATCAGAACAATGATACCAGAGCGTATTGTCCAATAGTATCAACAATACTGCTGTGAAACCAACTTTGAGCCTATGAGTAAGAGAACTTTGTTACAGAGAGTTTGGGCCGTGTGTTCTTCATCTGTTCGCAAGTCTCTATTCAGCATCAGGAATGGAAGCGGTTGATGCTATAGAAAAACTAGTAGACAAGCTTGTTGACTGTGGCAAGAATCAGCAACGAGCGAGGTAAATTAAGCAGCAACTTCGTTTTTCGAAGCAGTACCTAAAGGGCGACTACAAGGTGGGTGCATATTTTATAATTATGCGTTGCCTTCGCAGAAGTGATGTAGTAAACTTCTTACTATGATTCACGGCTACCTCTTTCTTTCTCTCCAAGTCTTCTTTATGCTTAATTGATGAAACAACAGTTTACAATTCACTGTAATACGCTTACACACATGTATACAACGCTGAGAATCGATTAAGTAATCTTTTTGAAATGTCGATCATATGCGCATGCAATGCTTTGTAAATATACATTGAATCACGCGCTTGTCATTTTACTTTTTATTTCAGGTACATGCGGTGGAGGCCTCAAAGGTTTCCGATCATTGTCGAATTTACGCGCTAAGTGACCCGAGCAATGCTGAATTTCGGGGCTCCTGTGACCATCTCCACAATGAGCCATATGAGCAGTGTTATGAGTTACAGGAAGTATTGTGTACCATAGAAGATGAGTGTTCAAGTGCGCTCTCGTCAGCAGAAGATCAAGCTGACATGCAACTTACCATCAAACAGGCAAGGGATGATATCATTTGCTGGAAAGCCCATCAGCTACGTTCAGTCCACCAAGCTGAGGCGAAGCATTCAGTTTTAGCCAAACTCGACAGCCGATCGGTGTTGTTAGTCCAGGACTGGGCAATGAAATATATACCCCGAAAATATCGAGAGGTGCAGTCAGATTGGTTTGCGAGCGAGGATTGCCATGGCTCATTAGCGTTGCCATAAGACGGTCAGAGGGTTCTGAGCAGTTTGAATCACAGACACCTGTTCACGTATTTCAAAGCTGCGCCCAAGACAGTGTGACTGTGGCTTCGATTATGCTTGACTGCCTCACTACCCTGAAAAAGGAAATTCCAGAGCTGGAAATGGCTTATTACAAACAAGATAACGCTGGCTGTTATCACAGCGGAAATTCAATCATCTCAGCTAAGCTGGCCGTTGATGCCATGGGAGTGGCTGTTGTAAGAAACGACTTTTCGGATCCTCCAGGTGGAAAGGGGGTATGTGATCGCAAAGCGGCAACAATCAAGGGAAGGTACGTTGGAAGGTACGTAAACGAAGGCAATGATGTCATCAACGCTCTACAGTTCAAAACAGCCATTGAATCTGGAAAAAGAAACCACAGGAGAGAAAGCAAGTTATGTTGCTGCCAAACCGTCAAACACCTTTAATATCAAATGGGATGGCATAAGCTTACTCAACAATTTTGAGTACGATGAAAGTGACACATGAGTGTGGAGAGCATTCAATGTGGGTTCCGGTAAAGTAGTGCCATGGGCTAAGTTCGAAGGAGTCATGAAGTAGCCCGAAAAATTGGAAATCCTAGACTCGCCATCGCAGAGTCCAAGTGGCGCACCGACGTTCAAGATTGTGAGACACCGACATATTAAGGAAAGCTCTGTCAAAGCAAATTTCTTAACTGAAAGCGAAAACCAAGATCGAAGCTGTATTGGGGAATATAAGCCAGATGACATGCTTTTCCCGTGTCCAGAAGAAGGATATGTAAAAGCCTACAGTCGCTTTGCAAACCTCCAGACACACCTAGATACTGGAAAACACCAAATGATGCTCGAACAGGAAACTCTCTACGATAAAGCTAAAAGAGAATATTCTTCCAGGCTGATGGAGGGACGCAGTCGAATACCAAGCGTTCAAGTTGCTGCACGATCAAAGAGAGACGGCTTGCCGCCTCTTCCAATGGGTTGGGCCTTGAAGACAATTAAGAAAAAGGTGCGTTTTACAAGGAAACAGACCGAATTCTTAACTGACCAATTTCAAAAAGGGGAGTATAATGGACGGAAAAGCGATCCACAGGAAGTTTCGAAAACCATGAGCCTAGCAAGAGACCAAGCGGTTGGACGTCGATTTCAACCTGATTAAGTCCTTACGTCGCAGCAGATTAGTGGCTTCTTCAGCCGTCTTTCAGCAAAGAAGCGATTAGAAGTTACAGCCGCCGGTAACCGAGGAAAAGCTATTGAAATCTCAGAAGTGGACATGGAGAGCGTCGAAAAGGACAAAATTTCCGCCGAAGCTGAGAGTCATCTATCTGCAGTGTGTGCAAATGTGATGAGAGATGTGGCTATTCAACATCCGATTGTATCTTTCGATCTAAATATCTGCGAACTTGTACAAAAACGTACACTCACAACTTTAAGAGTGGATAGGCTAAGAGACATGTGCATCGACCTTGGGCTGGATATTTCTGACATTTCACCTCAGAAGAGGAAAAAGCCATTCATCGCACGACTCACACAATTAGTCCAGGAGTGTACCTGCTCTTCCAAGTAACTGAGCACTGAACGTTTTACGAATAATTGATTATAAAAGCGGTGCGTGTATTATTTACGTGAAGGCGTTGCGTGACAGCAGAGTCCTACATATCGGATTTTAGTCACTCGAGCTCACCATTGCTTGTGAAACCTCCTTATCTTTGTGTTGGACGATTTTCAGTAAATTCGAAACTGGCGAGTGCAGAAGGCGCAGAAGGGATGCAAATGCTCGAATCCATGTTCACTGGATGAGAAGTAAACGGAAACTAACGGCTTTGTGCCAAATTTAACCTTTTGAGTGCAATTCAACTGTTTAACCTCTTGTGTGTAGAATTGTGTAGAATTATGAAGAATTACGGCGTGATTCTCAAAGGGTAGCAAAAGTCGAAAATTGTTTCTCCTGTCTCCGTATATAAAAATCAAGTGTAGTTATAGACATTTTAATATGTTTCTAGTCATTTTAACGGCCAGTGAAGATATAACTGACCAAAACAGTTATTTGTGTCCGACGCGTTTAATTTTGTTATTATGCATCTCATTATGGCGTCACGGTAATTTAACCGAAATTCGGCTGGTGGTCATCTTTTGATAGTCAAAGGTCCCAAAGAAATAAAACCCACATCGTAAATAACTATCTTTCAAGGCTTCTTAAAGAAAAGTAAAATGGTTTCAGTGTTTCCATAGCCTGATGTAAACACGCAGGAGGTTGGGTGAACACGAGATAAGCATAGGAAACCACGATGCGAAGCAGAGTGGTTTCCAGCTTATTGAGTACATTTTACATTTCTTTTATAAAATAACTAATGAAAGAGGAACGAAAACCATGTTTACATAGGCTCATGTAAAATGGTTTTATGGCCAATCAGAGCGTGCATACTATTTGAATTATTTTATAAATGAACAGATATGACTTCACAATGGGTCTTGCTCACGATAGAGTCTCTGTGGCTCAGTGGTAGAGCATCAGATTGTGAAATCTGAAGGTCTGAGGTTTGATTCCTCAAGGGGACTCAGATTTTTTTTTTGTCCCACACTTGTGACAAGTCAAAAAAAACATTTTTCTCCACAATATACTCCTTGCATAAAAATCTACATACAGACTAAGAGAAACAAGTTTTGAAGGGGATAGGTGGGGTGACAAAAAGTTAAGTTGATTGTGGTTTATCATGACAGGCCCGAGACACTTCCTCAAGCAGCACCTGCTCAAGAGAACTTTGACAGTGTAAAAAAGTTCTCATTGCATTTGTCACATTCAAACTCTTCTAAAGTGGTACTCTGAGGTTACTTTCAAGGAGCCATAAGGTCTCTTTTTTTAAGTTGGGAAAGGGGGAGGGTGCAAGCCTTTTTAATTAATTACCCTACTCCTTTGGCCCTAGCAAAAAATTTGACATTACTGCATCTGAGAGAAGCAAACATAATTTATTACAAACTCTCTATTTGGGGAACACAGTAACTTCCAGGGCAATCCAAAACATCACATACAAAAAATCATCCTGACCCCACAACCCTAACAACATAACAATCTTACCATTTGGATGGAAGGGTATTGTGTGAAAGAAAATCTTTGGCGGTCTGCCATTGTAGCACTCATCAAACTGAAGATACAACTTGAAGACACCACCTTAAAAAAAAAATAGAAAAAAGTTATTTGTAACTAATTCCAAAGATAAGGTGGGTGATTCTCCTTTCTATCTTTATAGACCACCTTATGAGCTAGTTATGAGAATTTGGTACTATATCAAAGTAAGATGTGTATCTGTATTCTCACCCCTTATTTTATTGGATAATGCTTTGAATTTGTGAGGAAAAGTTAAAAGTTTAAGGGTGAAGACAGCCACAGGGTTAACAAAATGAAGATCAAAATCACTCCACATTTTTTTCAAGGAAGATATTTTGCCATATGACTTATAGACAGTCTTTGGCAGAGGAAAGCAAAAAAACAACAGTGATTCATGTACCTTCCCACATTGTGTCTTTAGGGCCTTTTAGGGTACCTTCCCAGGTAAACATGTCCACATCCTCATTCAGTGGGTTGGCCTTTATACCCTAAACAAAGAGAAATATATAAACCCTGGAATATTATGACTTAGTGGTGGGTGGTGAATTCAAGAGAGGGTCTCCCTTCTTCTGAATCAAAGTTCACCCTACCCATCCACAATAAAAAAAAGTTTTGGATCTGCCCTTGCGACTCTCAATCAAACCATGATATGTCACACACATACTTCTGGTTTCAAGCTTCAACTGTATATTCATAATGGTAATTGGACTGAATGGAGTCCAATTCAGTCTGTAATCATGCAAGTGATGGCAAAATCAGACGACCAAGAAGCGGGAGTCCAATTTGTTAACTATGGGTATGATTACTGACGCAATTGGATGACACAAAGTCCTGTTACTAATTAATCATAACCATTACAGTGTTAAAAAAAATAAATCTAGAACAAATATATCCAATGGAGACAATTGCTGGTGTTTGATTACAGCCAACTGTCCAATCACACTGTCTGATTACCACTGTACAGAATGATTAGTGACAAATGAGGCACCCAATGTACCAATCACATTTGAGGAATTGAAATGGTTATGATTAATAATGGTAATGGGTCCGAGTGGAGTCCAATTTGTTCCGTAATCATATGAGTGATTGACAAAACCAAATAACTGCAAAGCAGGAGTCAGATTTGTTAATCACAAGTATGATTACAGACAGAATTTGACAGCATGAAGTCCTGTCCTGTTACCAATTAATCAAAACTATGACAAAACTTGAGAAAGAAACTGGACATCAGTTAACATTTTCATAAAAAAGCAACAGTTAACTCAACCAAATGCGAGACAACAGCACACATGATGCATTCTATCCACTTACACAGGCATGATGTGTTAACTGTCCATTAAACTGTTCTATCACACTATCCAATTACAACCATGACGCGTACACAGTCCTATTTGTGCTCAAATCAGGCTGGTAATAACCAATCACGTTCAAGAATTTTGTTAGAGTTTTGATTAATTCATTAACAAAACTACAACTCTTCTCCAAGTCCCAAAGTGCTGACTTTCATAATTCAGCCACTAAATAGATGATCACTGAGGTCCACTTCATGGGCAAGCTCAAATTTTAAGAACGAGGGAGTAATAATAAAACTAGTAGTATTTACTAAGGTGAAAACAGAAACCTTAAATTCTTTAGTTAACAGTAACTAGTACCCCTCGTTTTGTCGACCATAACACATATCTAAGTTTACTACATCAAATTCTGACCCCTAGACTCGTGAAAAATCATTTGAAGGAAGTAACATATATAAAACGTGAACGACAACAACACTATACGATCGCGATGAACACAAATACATCTCAAATGAGCACAATACATACTAACTATGCGACGCTCACTAAATATTATTGGAAGGTACATGTGTGATTAGTGTAACTTACCCAAGGAAGCTCTTCCTTTTGCAATTTAAACCACTCTTTCTCGAGTAACATGTGCGCCCTTGAATGCATTCTTCCACTATTTTGGAGCACGCACAATTTCGGCTCTTTAGAGGCAAGTTACTTAAAAAACGAAAGAGCAATTACAGCAATCTCTCCGACAAACACTTCACTCTGTCCATGAAAACTTCCTCACTAAATTTAATCATAATTTACGTCGCTGCTGCAGCCGATTTGATGCACTCTACAGGGGTACCAGTATTCAAAATCGAAGGAAGATGAAACCTTCTCCTGTATCGTCCGCCATATTGTAACAATTATTCTTCGGCGTGGTTGCATAGCAACAACAATAAATAAGATTTAGAGCCCAGTTTCCCAGTTTTCGATCATGCCCTCGCGATCATCGAAATTTACAATTTTCTTTCTGTTATCAGTTACCATTATTATTAATGTTATCACATCATTTATATTTTAGTTCTTAGTCTATATCGGGTATGATTATAGCTCCATCCCATCACAAAGAACAGTTTTGATCTTTTGAACTGTTCGCAGATAATTTTCAAATTGAAATTTTATGCAACGGAAAATCTCGATCAACCTTTTGTTTTTCAAGACCCAAATAAACTCTGAATTTATTATGCGCATTTGAAGTCTAGTGCGTTAGCTCCATCGGGAAGCTCCGTATCTGGAGTCGACAGCCCGAGCGATACGCAATGAATGTGTTTTCACACGATTTGTTTGTTAGGGCAGCATTTGCAGATCAGCTCTGTGATCAAGCGAAGTTTCTTGTACGACGGATCTTCTTCTCAAGGAAACTGTGGAGTAAAAATTTCCGTGGTACTAAAATTTTCCAAAGTCGAACTTTTTTCGCTTTTGGAGGCTTTTGTAACTAATCTAGTAGGCACGCTGATGCGTTATGCAAATCTGCTTTAGTTTAGCAGCTCAAGAAGCTCTTATGCAAACAATAACCTGTCTCGTCCTTTCTATCAACCAATGGCCGCCTATCTATATTGACATAAGAGCGAATATTTATTCAAATCGTTGAATTCAATATTATGCCCTAGAAACGGCTTATAAACAGAAACCACGGTAATAAGAGTTGAGAGGAGCTGAAGCAGGAAAGTGTTTTGAAAATAAAATGTCGTCAGATGAAGAAAGCGTTGAGGACGAAGGAGTCCCCTATTTAGGAGAATATGAAGGTGATCGAAATGAAGAAGAAGAAAGACATGGAAAAGGAAAAGCTAAGCTGCCTAATGGCGATGTATATGAAGGAGAATATTCACATGGCAAGAGACACGGCCAGGGAACATACAAGTGAGATCTTTTTTGTTATTATTCGATTGAAAAACAGTAAGTTATAGAGACAACTTTAGTCGGAAAATGATAATCTGGGTGACCTTTAAAAATTGAAAGCCACAATGAGATTCTTCTGCAATGTCTTCTCTCCTTGATAAAATTCATTTCACGTTTAGATGCCGTTTAAGCGCTTAATTCTAACTAGGTAATTCTTCTTGCCGATTCTAGATTTCAAAACGGAGCAAGATATACTGGAAGCTACATGAACGGTATAAAACACGGCGAAGGAACATTCCTGTATCCTGATGGCTCCAAATATGAAGGGTACTGGCTTAACGATGTCCGTCACGGCCGCGGGAAATACACCTACCCGAACGGGGACATTTACGAGGGGGAGTGGGCCGACAACCAGCGTCACGGTCAAGGGGAGTACACGTACCTGGAGACCGGGTCTAAATACCGGGGGATGTGGGTCCATGGGAAAATGGACGAAGTTGGGGAACTGATTCATGCTAACCATCGGTATTCCGGGGGATTTTTGCAGGATAAGCCCAGCGGAAAAGGTAAATACGTGTTTGATCACGGCTGCGAGATGCGGGGGAGATATGAACTGGTTGAAGTTGTTCTTGAGCCTGACAATGAGGAAGAGGAAGCCATCACTGTTGTTGAACCAAAGTGGAAGATAGAGGAACTTGTACCACTGGATTGAAAATTAAGCGCAGGTTTTAGTTGATCTACATTAAATTGCGAGAAAGCGTTTTAACATTTCTTGATTTGCCATAAAATAGATGGTGTCGGATCAAAAAAGTCTCAGGCTGGATTCTGTGTTTTCTTTCTTTATTTATATTTTTTTAAGTGAACCAACGTAAAGGCTAAACGAGCTGAATAAAATCAAACGCTTAGAGTCCTGAATGTACATAAATACCTACTCTATAATGAGACAAATATAGTACTACACGAAAATACTGCTCAGTGGTTTCATTTTAGGGTTACCCAGACCTCTCTTGCTTTTTCATCGCGCCGCTGCTATAGGAGGGTGTGAATGAGGTTAACCGACTACCGACAAAGGGCGTAAAAAATTACTGACTACCGACGAAACGGGGAAAAATTACCGACTAGCGACAAATAAATTCTAACCGACAACCGACATGGTCAGACGTGATAGGGATGTTTGTATTCAGAAAGAACAGCATTTTGATGATTTCTAGCTCAGAAAATCCTTCTTCACCCGATGTAACCACATTAATTCCAAATTTAGCCGAATTATAGAATTTCTTGTCTTCAAATTACTTTAAATCCACGGGATCCTTCTTTTCGGTGAGCAGCGTGGGCTCATTTCTAGAACAGCGGCTCGTAATCGGGCTGACAAGACGCCCTGCTGTCTCATTTCAAGAACAGCGGATCACAATCGAGCCGACGAGACGCCCTGCTGTTGTCTTTTTATTGCTCGTTGTTTGTTCATGCGGTCGGGTCATGACTGGGATTGCTAAAGTCATCGTGAGTTTTTTTCGAAAAGGTGAAGAAGTCGCCATCGAACGTCATCGAAGCAGGGTCCCAGTAGACAAAGAAGCTCATAGAGGAGTATCTGAACTAAAAAAACATCTTACGGAGTTTTTAGGACTAAAGGAGCAGGCACATCAATATGGAATTGGCGGATTTTCGTTAAAGTTATTTCGCCTGGCGAAATCGCCTGCGGGCAAATGCGAAAATTTTGCAATTGTGACGGATGGGCAATGGCAGCTTGAACTTCCAAATTTAATATCGGATGAAAGTAGCAGTGAGCTCAACGGTAAGTGTGGAACGCGTGCAGCGGAGTTTGATGAATCACTTTAGTTCTGTAGTTAAATATTAAGCTCAAATATTAACGTGGTTAAACTCTGGTTCCACCGTTTTTTGTTTGTTGTTTTGTGGAGCGGAATGTTTTTTTTTCTTTTTCACCGTCCATTTGAATGCGAAAATTGAGAAGAATAATCTCTACAAAGAAGTAGCGAGTAAATCAGTTTATAAGCTTCTTTCTGATTAATTGGTGAATGAACAACAGTGTAGCTTAACATATTAAAGACCCCGTTTATTTATACACGCCCTTAAATTTATTCGTTTCTGAAAACCAGACGTTCAAATAATATTCAATTCTCTCCTCGAGGGAAGCTACGCACGAGAGATTTCGCTCGATGTGCACGTTTTATACATCTTGACGAGCATTTTCTGATAAGAACTGTGTAAGTTTCTCAAAAGCCTACTAAAGAGAAAACTTAAAACACACGGTATTTAATATTTTAGTACACATTATCCAAGAGGTCACAAACTGGACCGGAAAGCCAGTAGTGTTGCTGAAGGCGCCGGCTACATCTGATAAAAGCAAGCAGAAGTCAATGAACGACACTGAGAAGAAAGGTGACGAGTAAAAAGTGAGAAGGAAACGGAAATCACGAGAAGAAGCAAAAGAAGATGAAAATCTGGCAAAGAGGATCATGACTGAAGGAGGTGACATCGAGAGAAACGAAAGGCAACAAGGAGACCTTCAAAAGTTTCAGGATGGTAGGGCTGAATTAGCACTTGTAGTTCGTTTACCTGATTTTCAAAAGTCATAAATTTCGCTACTTTGGAAATTCTGCGGTATTCCTTGTTTATAAACACTGCCTTGTTTATACAACGAAAAACGCTCACTTGGTGCGTTCGCTATGTAAAGATAGTTTCTTTTAAATTCCGGCTAAAAACTGTATTATTATCACTTTGATGGGCATTGTGGCGCATTTTGCGTGCTAAAATAAAGAATTTGCCGGGCTAAAATGTATTTTTAAAAATAAACCAAGACAACCAATGTTCGCGCCGTCTTCTTGTAGCATTGGTAAAAGAAACCGTGTATTTTTTAATTATTAACTGAGATTTACCAACAACCGACAGAGGTCAAAAATCTTAACCGACAACCGACAAAGTAATGAAATTTTAACCGACAACCGACATTTTGACCCCCCCATTCAGACCCTCCTATAGCGCTGTTTACTGTTTTACCAACAGAACGCCTAGCACAGCTAACGTCTGTCAGCCAATAATTTTTTACTTTCCGATTGGCAATACTTCCATGAATTTTGCTGTCGAAGAGCTTAGAATCGCCATAGAATGTCTAGGCGAGAAAGCTCACAGTACGATTAAGGCTGAACGTGTCTGCTGCGGCGTACTTTTGTAGGCAAATTTTGCTCGCAAAGTAATCAACCAGAAATCGACAGCCCCGCAAAGACTTTTGATTCAATGTATATTGTAATTTTGCAAAAATATCGGCCTTTTAGACACAATAGGTTTTTAAGCTTTCTTGTTATGAAAATCGAAAGTCTTCCATACAAGAACGAATAGAACCCATTTGAAAGGCAACTATCCCTTGAGTGCCGTTTAATGATCTCAAAAGAGACAACAAAGAAACTGGATGAATAGGGTTTATCTTCTTGAGGTTGGTTACAAAAGAAAATAGAGTTCCAAAAACATCTCTTTTTTGTGGACTTCATGTGCATCGTTTGACGCAATAGCGTTTAGCTGCCTATATAATTTTGTAATCCACTTTGGCCAGTCACTTTCGACTGGGACAGGAGCTTTTTTTTGTTGTACTTTTGAACGATGCAGATCATAGTGAATCAAATCGTATCCTAAGCACCATGAAACACTTACATATTTGATGGCTCGTCCTTCATCCCGTTTGTTTATACCGACCTTAAGCATAAAAACAAGAACTATATGTATATTGGCTGGTCATTGGGAACGATCTCTCAGAATTTGCATAACAGGTCATGTGGAATCCCGCCCGGATATATTACGCAATTGTTCATGTTAAATTAACGCTGGAACCGAGCTTTGCAGCATTTTCAGTTCTTGCGCTCAAATAAATGGATGTAAGGTTTCCAGTCGAAGTCGAGAGAGGAGACATGAACTGAATCGTCAAGGGCTACAAAGCATATCAATGGTAAGATCAACATGAACTTCACCAGCGTTTATAAGCCTGTTTTGTGTACGTTGTTAATTATTCGAGCGATGAATTTTTCGAATTTGGAAGAGAAGCACGAGGCAGTTACTGTTTGCGCGGGATTTCGAAGAGGATCTAAATACATGTCCGTTTTCAGATATTTCTATTTAAACACAGTTTATCCTCCTTTATTTAATATTGTAGGAAGTACAGCTCTCGTGTTGGTCAAGAACGGAACGAGTCAACCTTCGGAAAGAGAGTGGCGCTGCAAATCAGTTTCAAGACCTTTTTTTCATTTTGCGGTTGTTGCAGAGTACAGACAAACATTTCTGCCCGAATTTAAGGTCCTCGAATCTTCAGAAACATCAGAAAAACTGAACAATGACTAATCATTGGATTGGATTCGCAAGGATCCGCAAAGGTAAGCGGGATGTTGATTATTTTTCATTTACTATCCGTTCAACGGACAGACACACAGGGCTTGCACTGTAAGTATCCCTGAGAGCCCCATACAATTCCTTATTGTATGGAGCTTTTTTAGCGTTAGTCGAGGCGTGGCGGGTGTTGTCACGTACGATCCTTCCGACGTTTTTTTCCCGACACTATTCTGACAGAAGAATGTCACATAATGAAAGCAAACCAGAAACGATTGAGGAGCAACTCGGGCTTTCACATATCATCAAGTTCATTAAAATGAGCATTGAATTTCCTTCACATCAACAAGCCTTTGTTTACACCGATCACGAGCTCATTTGTGTTTCGGAAATAGATCAATTAGCTATATAATGATGGCGGAATTTAAGAAGGATTTTGAAGATGAAGAAGAACGAAAAGGGCGAGTTATTAAATCACGAAAAAACACTCCAGAAGAAAGAAACAGACAGAGAAAAGAATGGAGAAAGAGGAAACAAGGGAAGCAAATGCCGAATTCAACGAATAAAAATGTTGAACTTCAATCACTCAACCGCGAAGCGAATGACTTGGTGCCTTGTACTTCTGAGGCTAAGGGAAAGAAGCCGCGTCCTTCGGACCAACATTTTGAGCCACAAAATGTCAAGAAACCCCGTCTCCTCGCGCTTAAACCAGGCAGTGAAGAGAAGAAAGAGGCCTTGGGTGGTTGCTCAAGAGCTGCTAAGATAATTCAAATGGCTGTTGGTGCCGACACGGTTGTCTCGCAGAAACCTCGTGGGAAACGTCATCAAACCTTTTTAATTGGAAAAAAAACCACAGCGAGCAATGGGTCCAGATTTGAACCCAAAGAACTCAGGCCAGAAAACATTGAATACTTGTCTTAAAAATCCAGGTGGCAGTGGAAGCTTTGGACAGTGTTTTCTCGGGCGCTATCTAGGCATCGACGTTATTGCCAAGCAAATGACTCACAACGAAACGTCAGAGGATGAAAAACGAGCAAGAAGAGATTTACTTCACGAAGCAAAGGTCGTCTCTGCTTTGGGGGACTATCCACATCTACCCATGTAAGTAAGTAAGTTTATTAAATCTCCACTCAGTGGCTCTTCCGATTTAATTTACAATAATTGGAAATCGAATAAAACTACCTATAAAAGTTACAATAATATCATGATAAAGAAACAAATATAAATAAATAACTAACATATTCTTAAAATTCTATACCTAAAAAAGATTCCTACGGGCTGTCATATATATCGCGCTTTACTGCACGCTTGAAAACTGAGAGTGTTGCGCTATTTTTCGTTTCTTCACTTATAAGAGAATTCCAGGCAGTGATTGCTCTATAACTAAAAGA